GCGTTTCTTTTGTTGTAATTATAATGGACTGATATAAAGAAAACGAGACTATACTCCATTCAACGAGACGAGACAGTAAATGCATAAAAATTCACAGGCTCGGATCACAGCACACAAACCTCGACCGAAACGTTTGATGAACCGGAAATAACTAAGCTCTCGGCCCTGTGTCGAGCGCGCGAATTTGTAAAGATATCCTGACTCGTCTCATTGGACGGATTATAGGTCAGGACACGATACAAACGCTGAAATTTCTCTCCGGAAACGGATTCTTTTTTTATTGGGAATAGTAGAAAGGTATTACGTAGCGAGCTTTGTCGATCATTCGCACGATATGTAACGTATTTACATGATATGTTACATCGAGAATTGGAAGATAGAAATTAATTTAGCGATCGTTGTATCCTATAAGAAAAGTAGATGGAACAAAGCTTGAAACTGATACGATGATAGTTCGTCGTACGACGAATTGAGTCGCAAACTCTTTAAAATAGCTTAGAATATGTTCAAGGTGTACATAAGTAGAAAGAAAATACTTTTTATACTATTTACAAGTTATAACGGAAGAGTGACTATCGAAGCTTGAAGTATAACCGCGATCAATGCCGCGATACGTTTTATATTCGATCGACTACACTATTCGTTTCTGTAAAACTTTAGCTGCCTGACAGGGCTTTCTTGCTCCTCGACACCGAGGACGTGTTATCAACGAGATTCTTAATGTTCCAAGTGATATGATAATGTTTCGCGAAAGATATGTTACAGTTGATACCGCGAAGAAAGAGTATTATTTTAAGATGCGAAAAATTTCGCGCCATCGTCTCGTTTACAACTATTTACGTAGATAAACGTGATCGTTTTAATTGATATGCGATTTGCCAGGGAGAAAACGATATTTTCCCGTGAAATCTTCTTTTCCTAGACAACGTTCGAACGTTTTCCTCGTTCGAGAAAATTGAATCGAAAATCTATCGATACAACCATCAGAGCTTGCGACAACGAGCGGTAACGAGTGGCTGCCGAGTGTATCGTATACCGTTTAATATACACCACTTGTTTACCTTCTGTTACTTCCTTAATCGATATTTTTACATCCGAAATAGTTACGAATCAACGGAATTTCGCTTCGCGTGCCGTGTCTAGGTATTACGTCGAAGATGGATAAAAATTTGAAGAATAAAGACCACGTCGCCTTTGGTCGAGAAATAAAAACGCGTCCTCGCTGCACTGACGATACGAACGTTCATGGATCTTTCGTGCATTTCGATCAACGTTTGTACCGCTCGTGTCCCGACGGTCAAGATAGAAAATGTGATGACAATGAGAATGGCGATCAGCTGCTGTTCGCGTGGCTTTCGGCGAGGCTTGTTGGCGTAGTCGCGCGATTTTGGCATCGTCCTGGGCTGCGTTTCTTGCACTTTTTATTCCATCGTGTCGTACTTGACCTTCTTCACCTTAAAGTAACGATAGGCGGCGTAACCGGTAATTGTGAGCAGAACGGCAGCGGCTAAAGTTGACCCGACCGCGACGGGTGCTGTTTCGTCTCGAACTCCGCGTGCGCTCAGCGACGTGCACGAAAATTCGACGGCGAATTCATTGTTCTTGAATTTGAACGGCTGCAGCTTCATGTCTCTAAAGTTTCGAAGTAATTCTTTATGAAAATTTCTGGTTAATCTGTAACGTTTTACGATCGCGAATCGGTCTACCTGAGAAGCACGCTGGCATAATTCTTTCCATCGGTCAAAGGGATCTCCGTTTCGCCGCTGCAGGAGTACGATTTGCCAACCGGGGTCGGGAACAACATGGAACTATGCTTCTGTCCGGTGCTCAATCGGATCGTCTTGTCTTAAACGCAAAGAGATTCGATTTGCTGTAAAATTCCTATAAGAAATTTCCTTTCCCTTTAACTGAACTTACGTGGCTGATCGATATGTTCGAAATGTCGATCGCTGGAATTGTAGGTCAACTCGATTTTTTCGACGTACCATCGTTCACCCCCGGGTGTCTAAAAAATTTATTCAACGTCAATTTTAAATTTGGTAATGATGAAATGATTCGTTCCACGAGTAAAATGAAGGTGCAGTAATTAGAATTAGAACGAAGGGAAGAGAGTCGAAGGGCCAGGTATCGATTTCCTCTGGAAACGACCTTTTCGTGCGTAGAGCAGGCTAGTTTCGTGACCTAATGTCGTGTCGTTGGACAGTCGGTTGGTTAAGGGATGAAAAATGATGTCGCGTGTTCAGACGACATGTCAGCTCGTTACCTTAGCGAAACTCCACGACAATACGAACGCCTTCCACTTCAGGGACATTGTCACGGTGTTCTCGTTGTCGCAATTGCCAGTTACCGTCGCATCGTTAGGAACGTAGATGCTCGCTTCCTGAAGAAGATTCATTGTTTAAGATTTACTTGAACCTTATCCTTTACTTATTCTCTAGAAACGATAACGAGCCTTACTTGATCCTCTCCGAATTTCGTTCTATATTTCACCGTGATCAGAGCGTCCACTTGTAGAAGAATACAAGCTTGTCCATTGCTGCCGTCTAAACGGTAGAGAGGCTGTTCCGTGGAGAACGATCTGTGGGTGGTTGTTGTTTCCGAGGTCATCGTCGTGGTGCTCTTCATCTCGAAATTGTCCACCGACTTCGAAATATCATTAACGTTAAATCTGATGCATGGTTCGTTTCGTGAACGAGCAGAACGATTTCGCGGAGATTAAACGATCCACGAGAATTTTAATAAAATGTCGCGCCCGTCTTATCGTTTCGATCTTATCGGTCGATCGTTATACTGTAATATCGCTGCAAGCCACGCTACCTGTGCTCGCCCGTTTTAGGAAAATAACGTGATAAATTGCATTAGTGTAGAAGCAACATAGGCGAAAATGCTCGAGGAGCAACAGGCTAAGATTAATAGGCTACTCTAAGAAAAAATTATATCGAACGGAATCTTGATCTTTACAATGTTGAATTTTCTGTTGATAAGACGTTTGTTTTTTTACCTTGTCAAACAGGTAATGGACACGTACCACGAATCCATTTAGATAATTGTCAGACATACGTTATAAGGTAACTATTGTTTCTGATAAGTGTGTCGATCACACGAAAATATGTCACCAACCTGTTTTATCGTATCTTATTAACGATAATCGTGTTTCAGAGGAGCGTTCTTACCAAGGGTAGTTTAGATTTCGGGCCGGGCATATCGAACACCACGTTTGCCATCCGACGTGTCGTATACAACTGCTCGTCCAACTTTTCGGGCGCCGGCGAGTAACTGGGGACGCTGAATGCCGTACTCAGGACACACCCTGCAAGAAAATCTTTCGTTAGACAAGATTAAGTAAACACACTGTTATTCAGAATTTTCTGTTAAATAAACTTTCTTTACAGATTAATAATGTGAACGAATTAATTGACACCTGTCCATCAGATTTGTAAATCTATATAATTGATCGATGATGAGAAGAATTGTGAAAATTGCAAATAGATATAGAAAATCATCTAATCGATGATATAACAACGAAACCGTTGCGAGTATCTTATTAGATAATACTCTGTACTCCAGATAATCTAATCGATTTCCGGTCGATTTTCATATTTGAAAACATCATGAAACAAACATCTTAAACTGTTTGTTGCGTCATTGCGAAACTAATGGAGCTTCGTTTCCTTCGAACACACAATATTACTTCACACGGTGAACAATTTCACGCAAACGCACCGCGAAACAATTGGAGAACTCACACAGTACGAAGATCGCCTTGGTGTAATCTATGCGACGTGCCATCTTCCAGGATTGTGCTATTCGCGACGGCGACGAGCAAAGGATAAGGAGATAATGAAAAAAAAATACGTTTTCCCGTGGCAGGTGTACGCGGGATGATTTTACCTAGACGACGTTCGCGAAGCTTGTGAGACGAACGGGAAAGCTCGGTCGAGGATGGATCGATAGTAGAAGCTCTCAGCATGCGCCACGATGTCTTCTGGTATAGTATACACTACACACGTATGTATACCTGGAAAAGCACGGCAAAAAAGTTTGTTCGTTGTTTCACTTCGGGGTGGCGTTGTCGGTGACGTCGGGCGTCGGCGTCGGCGTCGATGCTGGCGTCGGCGTTGCCCTTCATTCACTTGATGCACTTTAGCGATACGGCTATTAGAATACACACCAGTCAGCTATTTCGAATCGAACCGCCATGCCATCTCGACGGAATGAATGACCCTCGCATAGTAATTTACCATTCATGAGGTTGACTAAAATTGATTTTCTAATTTGCTATTTCGAGCTCAGGATTGATACTCGTGTTTATGTCGATAATTTTCATTTTTCAAAAGAAACCGAGAAGATTTGTTCTTTTTCAAGGATTTCTCAAGGGATGCGAAGGACAGGGTACGGTATAACACCCTGCCTCAAGAGAATAGTCATTTATAAACAATTAGCACAGAAATAGGATTTGTATATTCTATTTTGATGCTCAAAATGTATATTTCTTTAAGAATAGAATGGTATTTAACTATTCTGCTAAGGGTGCCTTTGAGGGAAATGCATCCTTGTTTCCTACGCGTTTACGTAGGACGACTTAAATGTAGTCCACCCTCAGTAACGAAAGGGTTAAATGACATTTACCCGATTACTGAACATTAACCAGCGGCGACACGCGTCCCTCTTACACCCACTTACTACAATGTCCTCCCACGCTCAATGAATTTGACCGCAATTTCTCGTTATGAAAGCCTTTAGAATACCAAAAACGCATAGTATTCAAAGGAATCAAATATATAAATAAATAGTCGAAAAATGCAACAGGTTCTTTCATTGATCAGATTTAAAATTTATAAATGTTATACATTGAACTCTGTTTATGATTAGGTAGCATAAACAGAGTTCCTCGAGTACCAAAGAGTGAGGTACTGATGGTAATAGCAGATTTCTTCAAACCTCATTTTTGCCAGTCATATTGTGGTGCACTCTACGACTCAGGATGGTGATTTTAGAAATTAAAGAAGGGGTTGAAGGATCGATAAGCCCCGAAGGGGTTTACCAACTGCTGGTGGATCGATCGATAATTTCGCAAGTGATATCCGCTGCTTTTTAATGAATTAGAGCGAAACAGCGCGAAAGTGAGGGAAGTATTAGGCCACGTCGACATTTGTTCAGTTTCGATTGATAAATAGGTATATAGATAGCTTGTTGTGAGTGTGCAACAGTGATCGATGCGTGTCATTAGTGACAGTTTATCGTTTTGTCAAAAGTTTCAAGTGTTTTTTACAAATTTTCCGTATAATGAAACATTTCCAAAAACTTTTGGTATGAATTCGTTATGTCAAGTAAGATGGAACCCGAAGAAAACGAAATATCTCTGGATTCCAATGTGTCAGGAACATCTGCGGGAATGTCAGTTCCTATGGAAAAGCATAACCTGAAAGTTCGAAGAAGAAATGTAATCGAGCCAGTGAATTTTTCATCGAAAGAAGAACAAAATTTGGAGTCCGAACGTGACGTTCCTCTTGTAAGAATGTCTGATTCTACGAAGGCATGGTATGATAATCTTATACCACAAATACCTGATATCGCGGACTTTAGTTTATCAGGTAAACAAAACGGAGTGTTAAATCGCGAAGACGATAGCAATTTATTAGAACATGATTTTGGTGATACAGAGACATTGACTAGTAGAGAACGGATGAAGATAAGCGTTATTCGGGGAAGCGTTGCTAATCCGAATTTGACATTAGGAGAACTCAAATTATTGGGTTGCAGCAGTGAGGGTTTCGTTCATGGTATTTTATTAATGTAATTATAGATTATTATCAACAAGGAACTTCTGCATAGACAAATATAATGTAATGGAATATTTTCAAACTTTATTTTATTTTAATAGAGATTTACATTATATGTGCTTATTAAAAATAACAAAGCATAAAATTGCAGGTTCCTTATTGAAAATAATTTTACACTTTGTAATTAAATCTTGAAATTATACAAATGATCTGTAGATGATATACGAAGAGTTTTGTGGCCAAAACTTTTGAGACTTTCTGAAGAAAGTAGGCTTTCTATGGATGAATTAGAAACTATACACAATCATATACCAAATGAAGTGTATCAACAAATATTAAAGGATGTAGCACGTAGTGGTAGTCATATTTCTGAAAATGCCACCCAAGATGAAATAGATCATTTTCATGAACAATTAACACAAATAATGTGTTGGGTTCTTCATAAACATTCTACATTGAAGTTAGTATTATGTATATATATATTCATGTACATATGTATGTCATATAGACATGTCATTTAGATTCATATATATATATAGGTAATGCAAAATAAAATAATACCTGCTTAGTTATTACCAGGGATATAATGACATAGCAGCAACTGTTTTACTTGTCATGGGCCTAGAAAAGGGTTTACGTGTACTTGAAAGTATTTCATTAGAATTCCTTGAAAGATTCATGGAAAGAACAATGGAAAAAGTAAACCAAGAATTATTTTACATATTTGCACTGTTAGAAAGAGTGCATCCTACTTTATTAGAACATTTGGAAAAGTTAGTACAATGAAGTATACTTGTTTAGAAGTTTCTAAATAATAGTTATTAAATCTATTCTGTATTTTAGTGTAGAATTATTCCCACATTTTGCATTGGCTGAATATACAACATGGTACGCGCACAAATATGCAGAAAATAGAAAATTATTACACAGATTGTTTGATTATTTTCTTGGTAGTCCTCCATTGATGCCTCTTTATCTAAGTACTGTGATTGTAGCACATAGGGCTACAGAAATTTTTAATACCACTCCTGATATGGGTCATACGCATAAAGTTTTATGTACTGTAAGTATTGTTTAATCCTTATCTTATGAATAAAATAAAATTGTACTTGGCCCTATTCATTTTCATATAAAAATTACACTCGTTTGTAGTTACCAGATGATTTGCCTTTTGAAACACTTCTACTCGAAGCAAAACTTTTATACCGTCAGTATCCTCCCGAATCTATAAGTAACGATGTTATAGAATACGATCAAAAAAGGAAACACAAAGAACAAGAATGGAAGGCAAAGGCCGAAGCAAGTCGTCAAGAGAGAGAAAGACAGAATCAACTCCGAATCGTGCAATCAAATCCAAGAATACCGTATCGTATTAGAAGTTATAAAACGATCACAGTAGTAACGATTCTGGCCCTAGGATTATATGCTTTCTTTAGAACATCGTCTGGACTTAACTGACATTAAATGAATTTATTTAAAAAGTAGATCCATTTATGTGTCCTCCAAACAGATTTTCATTTTACTCATGTACCGTTAGAATAATTTAATCAGAATTTTTGGAGACATTAACAAAATGGAAAGGCTTATTGAATGAAAGAAATCTTATTGAATAATGATTGAATGAATCTGTTTTTGAATGTGTAACAAGAAGTAATTTGAGCATTCCTGTGCTGCCTTTATGCTGTGTTCTTTAAAGACCAATGTCAAGCTTCTGTGCACATATGTTTACGGTGTTTGAAATGTGAACAAAAATTTGTAGAAAGGTGAAAAATGTATACAGTTATGAAAGGCGATATTTCTGCAATATGAATATTTTGAAATACACAAGCAAATTTCAAGTTTGATGAATTATTGTTTAAGATTAGGATCTAACCAGGCATAGGCATGTAATCACTCAAAAAACGGCTCTATCTTCTGGCTTGTTTGGGTGGTTCTTTTTATTCGGTGGGTAACGGGAAAGAACTCGTTGCGATTATGCGACCTCTCGAAAATGAGAATTATAGTGGGAAATACCCTCTCTGTCTTTCACTAAATCGTTGCTAAATCCTTGCTAAGCTCAAAGAGCACTCATACTCGATTTACTACTTGTTATTCATGCCTGGCTTAGATTCGTGATGCAAGTATGTGTTTATTCAAATTTACAAAGAACAACCTAAATAGAATAGAGACCATTAATAAAAAAAAACATAATTTTTTAATTTTATTTATTTCTGTTCACACTTATCTGTTTTTCATTCGATTTTTATCGAAATTTTATTACTAGACATGTATAATATATATGTGTAAACAATTTATGCTGTTAAATCATGAATACTTTGATTTTCAATATATTTAATTGTATTACGAATAAAAATTACACGATATGTTTAACAAATTTGTACCTGAGATATTGAAGTAAGAAAAATATACTAATAGAATTTAATACATTATACACATACTATTGTAGAGAACAAAAATGGTTGTTTATAAGGTTATTTATCTCTACCAAATAAATCATGTATGTATAAAAATTAAAATGGAGCGACGTACTTCCAAAGATATAAAATAAGTAGTAACCTTGTTTGTTTGTGATTACTTACTTTTATACTCATAAAAAACCTGAAGAGCATTGTTACAATGCTACTAGTAAACTTTACTTATCTAAAAGACTGTACATATGTACACAAAATTAGTAGAATATCATTTCTAGCTGCAACTTATTATCACGAAATGTATTTATTATGAAATTATAATTTACTATTTTTCTAAAATTTCAGCTGCATTTAAGAATATTATACTTGTAAAATTGTTTTGATGTAAGTCAAAACGTCGATATTTCTAAGAATATCCATATGATTAACACCAGAAAAGGTTTGAGAATAAACTTTTTGTTTTTGCTTCCCCTGCCAATATTTACAACCTTCTAAACTTCTTAAATTTACAGTGCCATCGCCGTCACCAGGCACTAATTGAGGAATACCCTCTATTGATGTACCAGGTTTATAGTATAACCTGAAAATAATGCATAAAAGCATTAAGAAATAAATGTAAAGATTGCAACTATTGAATAAAAATGTAATCAATATACTTTTGTACTGTATCCAAACCACTTCCATATAAACAGTGAACCTCAACCCCTGGAGGAGTGAAATCTAATTGATATTTTTCATTATCCTTCCAAAATTCCCAACCATTTGGTACATTTATATCTCTGTAAGATTCAAAATCTTAGTTTGCAAAAAGTATATAATTACTAATTATTAAACAATATATATTGTATGTATTAATATCATACATTAAATAATCTTGTAACGTGGTTAATGTATAATTTTTATATTCTGATTGTACCAATATTTCTGATTCCTTCCAAAATAATCTTGATGGTAATAACCATCCTAAACTAGGACTAGTTACTTGTTCATCTTTAAGAACAGTTTGACGTAAAAGATATGCACCTAAATCATCTCCTATAACGGCAAAATAATTTAAAATATACATTTTAAGTTACATGACACACACATAATATATATTATTTACCAATAGCAAATACTTTAAGTGCCTTTACACTGCCACCCCAAACAGCTGCAAGTGTAATTAAACGGTTTATGTATTTGTCTTTCCATTCTTGACTTTGACGTTGCAAAAAAATAAGTGTCATTGGACCACCCATACTATGTGCTAATAATGTTACTGGAACTTGCTTATTCATAATATATGTCTCTTCAACTAATGTTTTCAACTTAATAAAAAATTCTTCATTTTCATCTGAAACAAAGCTTTTGTTGTATAATAAAATGCAAACATAAATGATACAAATATTTTAAGAAGAATGCTAATATGTATAAACATACTGGGTCCTTTTCTAAAATCATAAGGTGCACCACGTAAAGAATAATTCCTAATATATCCAAGGTTATCAACTAGCATATTGCCAATATCTTTAAAATAAACTCCAGGAGAAGCTTTGCTTGGATCTAAGTATTCAACAACAAATGGATCACCCCAACCTGGTATACGAATATCAACACCATCTTGGTTTCTTGTTGTTCTTGTAACATTGTCATAATTCAGTTTCATATTATCAATCTGAAACAACAGATTAAAAGTTGATTACACTATCAACTCATTGTAAATTATCATTTTATGCACAAAGCATAAAAAGGAACAATAACTACCCAACAGTCTATAACGAGTGGAACAAGTAATTCCAAGTTTAACCAGATATTAAAATAGTCATTGGAAGTTTTCTCACATACATAATGTACTACCGTTGTTTTGTTGAGTTTTGCTTCAACTTGGCTACCACCATCTCCTGGAACTTTTAGCATACAGCCATTTAGAATATAATGTTTTAGATAATGTAATATAAAAGTGCTTGTAATAAAAAGTGATTACCAAATATAACAGGAGATAATTGTTTGTTCCTAAAATGTCTTGATTCTATAGATAAAATGCAATAGGATAAAATGATCGTATAGATAATAAAATACAAGCGCATGGTACCTCAATTGCTTTTCTTAATTAGACTTTCATCAAAACTGCACGCTTTAATTCACAACTTGACAATTAACCTTAAAACTAAGTATAAATATGTCTATTGCTACGATTACAAGTGTACAGGGTGAATAAATCAAAAACGTTTCGTCAAACGTTTGTTTTTTCGATCACTGTAGTACGCAATCAGCTGATGACGCACACATTTGAAAGTCAACAAAGAAGAAAATTACATTTACGAAACATCATTCTTCTTGGTATTTATATATATATACGTAAAAATATTACGATATAAACTTATCAAATGTCCGATGAATAATTTATCTCATGATAATACCCAGTACCTTGTATGTAGGTATAATAAACAACAAGACTTGAATGTGTATACATATTTTGTATAGGAATTAAAAAGATGTTCAGGAATACATCTCATAAGGAAGTACTTATTTATGAAATGAACAGTGTGTTCCTAACCTAAAACTTGTATATTTTTACTATTTTATTATTTTCAATTAAAAAATATTCAGTAGAATTAAAAAAGGAATCGTGCCAATGCTAAGAGAAGTTAAATTTTCATTTTATCTCGTGTAAAAATGCCGACGGTTATAGCGTTAGACGTATCTCTGTCAATGAGACGTCCAATACTAAACAGTGGATCTGCTGAAAATAATCAAAATGAACAGTTAACTAGACATCACTTAGCTGTCCATGGAATAAATGCATTGTTACACTATTTGCAAGTTAATTCGAAATTGGAATTTGTAGCTTTGGTAAATGCTCTCAACTGCAAGTAAATATTTTTTTAACATTTTTTATGACTATAATAGCTTCTTCTTATTCTAGGTTGTTTTTTCGTCGTTGTACGAAGTTATTTGTCCATTTACTCGTGATTATGATAGCATACGTTCAAAATTACAAAACATTGAAGAATGTGACAAGACTTGTATTGAAACTGCTCTTCATGGTGTCAATAATGTTATCATGGCAGAGTGGGGTAATACTACAGCATGTCAAGTAGTATTAATTACTGATGGTAACCCTGGAGTAGGACCAATGTCTTTAGGCGATTCATTGAATTCATTAAATTTAACAAGGGATGTAAATCCATTTCCATTACCATTTCCTTATCCAGGAAAGTTAAGTATTGTATGCATTGCACCACAACAAGGTATGTGTATTCATTAAATAAGTGTATATAATATTGAAGTTTCTTGATATCAATTTCAATCCTTTTTTAGAACCTGGTTTACATATTGGTTTACCACTTTACCAGCGATTAGTTGAGCTGGCTGGTGGTGATAGTGTGGTACTTGTTCCTGACACACCACTTTCAAAACATTCAGTCACAACTTGTTTTCAGAAATTAGCAGAAACTAATTATGTTTCTTTTCAAGGCTATTTAAAATGTGGAAATTTAGGATCCAGAGTCCTTTTATCACCAGCACCAATGGTAAGCAATAAGGTACAAAAAGCTAATTACTTTAGATCAATTGTAAAGCATGTTATTTCAGCCTTACACTAAGAAAACAGATTTTGAATTGGTTTCTGGTTTGATGATATCAAAAACAATAGAAATTTGTGGATTTATATCAGTAGCAGATGTTGGTAGTCCTAGTGCTATATCTAGACATTTAGTTTTACCATTAGCTACAGAAAAGAGTTCAAGCATGCAAGGAATATCTCTAGAAGAAGATTCAGATACAGATGAAAATGGAGATGAAGGAAAAGTACCCTCTTTTTGTGTGCTATTACATGGGGCTTTGAAGGTAGTATTTCACTTTCATATTTCACCAGTTTTATACATACATATATTAAAGAATCATCCTTTACAGGTTGAAAATATGGTAGCACTCTGTTTGTTAAATAATGAGTGGTATGGTTTTATATACTCGTGGGCAGATACAAAAAAGAAATCAAATTTAATGTTAACAGTGTTAGAACCGGGTTTAGATGTTGTACCTTGGTTAGGGAACTTTAGCAATTTGGGCCCACTTGATGCAGCTAAAGGTGCTGCTGTTAGTTTCCCAGTTAGACCAAATGAAAAAAGAAGTTATACTCAGAACGCACCATCTTGGATTCGCCAAGTTGGACTGCAATCCGATATTCAGAAAATTTTAAGACACGCAAGAAAATTACCCGAAAAAACACAAAACTTCTATAAGGTAAGATAATAATTCGTAAAACTTTAATGAATTATTTAAAACTATCGAATTTTTGACTATAAATTACATGTTTCCGTATAGGAGGTAAATCGATTACGTAGAGCTGCTGCATCAATGGGATTTGTAGAACTTTTGGAAGGATTGGCATGTATTTTGGAGCGTGAATGTACATTATTACCACCAAATTTGAACCCTGATTGTACAATACAAATGGGTCATGTAGCATCTATGATAAGGAAACCCGAATTTCTTGAACTTAGATATAATATACCACCAGCTCGTACAAGATTTCAACATGGAGGATCTTAAATAAGGCAATAATGTAATTTGTAATATATTAATGTATTTATATAGATAACAATTTCTATATTAAAAATAATTTTTATATTTTATACAGCTGTCCTTTTTATTAAAATTACATTTTATAAATTACCATAAAAAGTTATTTGAATTATGTTTATATATATATATATAAAAATTTAATCCTTCATGTTTTTCATATCCTTAATTAGGTAACATAAAATGTCATGCAAACCTTTTGCAGTTTGTATGCTTGAATATTGATCAAAATCAGGAACATGAATAAATAATGTTTTCATAGGATCAATCTGTAGGGATTTGTAAAATATATATTCACACAAATATCGTCCTGCATCATGTGATATGCAAGCATTACACTCTGAATTCTCATTAATTGCACTGCATATTTTGTTAACATTGATTTTAGTTTCCAAAATTTTAGGTTTAATATTACTTTCATCAGGACACTTATCACTTGTGTCTTGTCTTAAATAACCATTGCTATGAGCACAACATTCTATAGTTAAAGATTTTGCTTTACTAGATACACCTACATGTAGAACTAGCTGAAAAACAGGAGGAACTGTTTATGTTAAAAATAATATAATATCTTAATTAAATGAGAAATAAAGAGATTTACTGTAGGTTTATATTCTTCCCAAAGTTTGGGTACATAAGTATCTACATCTTCATATGAAACTGACATTTCTTTCACAATTACTTCAACATTTTTTAATTCTTTTGAAGTAGCGCACAGTTTGTTTAATTCTTTCACGGCTTCCCAGCTGGCGTTAACAATATGGTTACTGAATGGACCAAATCCAGTTATTAAAACTGTATTTTTTGAAGGAACTTCCATCGTTAAATTTTACTACTCTATAACGAAGATATCACTAATTGCCTTATCATGATAACATTCTATACAAACAATGCGTTGATAAGAACAATATCATTATCACTTTGATGCGCCAAATGAAAATTGTGCTACTGCAATAATATGATCCAAGAGTTTTTATTATTACGATTTTTCCCAAAATACCGTTTTGTATGTATGCACACTAATGCCCCAGGGAAAAAAGCGATGTCCCTACCTCCCATAGGATTTCGACAACAGGTGGGCAAAATTTTAAGGGGTGATTCTAGAGATCAAAATAAGACGAAAATCAAGAATAACGAAATAGCGTTTGCGGTTTTGTTTTCCAATAATTAACGTTTAAAAATTCGAGTAAAAAGCGCCTGAAACCTGCAACCCGCCCAGCACCGACGACTGAACGTCTGGTCAGCAGGGGTCGGTACAGTCCCAACCAAGAATAGTTGAAACTCACCACGTGCTCTTCTGTTTCTCGGTATTGCCCTTACCCTTACCCCGAATTTCGCCCATAAGGTGATACGAGCGTCGAGGCTGAACTTCGAATTCCGCATAGAAATTTCCGAACAGAAACCGATTTAAGCGCCACCGCAATTCTCCATTTATGCAAATTTTTACTTTCATTCAATAATGAATTCCTCTCGAAAATTGTTATAAGAAAAATATTTGTTAGTCAACGTAGCGAATTTCTATCAAATGAAAAGCAGAAATTATGTGTTCTATAGACAAGAGCGAGATCTGGCGCCTGACCAGAGTCATGGATAAAGTCATGGTCTTTCCAATGTACAACGTCTCTGCTTGAAATATCTTCGCCAGGGTTGATTTCTTTCTACCATTGCGTATCAAACAACTTCGTTCTTTCTAAATTCCATATTTTGTGATTTTTCTTTTTATTTTATTTTTAACGACTTCGAAAAGAATTAGTCATTTGTAATTAGTCAAAAATCATACAAGTTCCTTTTTCAGGAACTATAAAATTACTATAGTTATACGTTCTATATGGTAATATTGCAATCCCGAAAATACTTTTCTGAATTTAAACTATTATTTCCCAATTAAAAAATATATAAATCTTTTTATAGTAGCTCTTAGCTTGATATCGCTTTCTAAAAGTTATCTTTAGAAAACGATATCAATTACCAGGTCACACCACATGGAGGTGGCTACGTTAGTGACCCACCCTAAAATCATAAGAACGTGAAACCATTCAAATAGAAAGCCGCAAACGCTATTTCGTTATTCTTGATTTTCGTCTTATTTTGATCTCTAGTATCACCCCTTAAAATTTTGCCCATCTGTTGTCGAACACCCTATAGATCTGCGGCCTCCCTCACAGAAACGACTGTTATATCGACTGTGCTCTGTACAATGCAGACTAACCTCACCTGAGGGTGTCTGGGAGACCCAAAATTATGATCCCTCAAGGACAAAGGTGCATCCAGTATTTCTATATCTGTAGTCATTGAAACAAGTTAGGGAAAATGGCTGATGATACATTGGGTCATGTTTTGACAATTTTACTTGTTTGATTACGGTTGTTGGGAAAACGTCTGTTATATTTTAAAGTATGATTTCGATTATACCGTGAGGTACGTATTTTAATGAAGACTGAAAGTATCTATCGATACGTGGATTTGAGCTGATCAAGAAAAATCTTGTTAAAACTTGTCTGGACGTGTTTCAAGTAGCTGCCATTAAGAAATTACTCATTATGAATATGTGAAGTAATTCTTGAATAACTTTTCTGAAGAAATTATATTATAGGATTTTTATACTATTGGTAAATATACACCTCTCATTTATGTTCTTAACATTTGACTAAAGCAGATAAAATTAATTATTGAAACTTTTGTGTCAAAATTTGGGCAAACACTTTATAGCAATAATCAGTTATTTACTTTAATTAATGATTATTTTACAGGTGCTTAAAGAAAATTTTATATGTTAATGAGTTATTTTGTTTTAGATGATCAAAAAATTCATTGGTTGGTAGACTTATGTGATATAATAAGATGATATTGTATAATGTGAAATTGTGCATAAGATTTTTATAAGAGAAAACTACAAATGAAATACTTTTGAGGCAATAAAATGCCTGTCAATCCATTTAATAATGGGACAGCATTTCGCTAGTCTCAGAGAATTTTTTAGAATGGATAGTGAAAGGCAGTCTTCCGAAGTGTGTGCTAATGTTATTCAGTCTGCACAATTAGAAATGATGAATCAGGATGGTACAAAAGGTTTACATGATAATGAAAATAATGGAAATGTACCTGCATTGAATTCAAATTTAATTCTACAAGAAGAATGCAAGGTGGATGGAAATTTGGACAATGATCGTCTACACTTAGATCTAGATAATCATAACTCTAGATTTGAAACATTGTACAGTCAACCAGTTGATGCTCAGGACTCAAAGCAAAATTGTAGCAATGGAAATTTTGCTACTGAGATATGTTTCAAGCTACAGGAGGCATGTTGCAGTAGTTCTGGGTGTAGTAATACTAGCACAAGTTCAGAAGATAGTCCTGTGAATCCTCCTTTGAGGAGATCTTCTAAAACGTTATCGTTTGGAAAACGAAAAGGTAATAAATACATCCTTGGAATCTTTCTATATTCATATTTTTGTTCCTTGAACGTTTGCATAATGTGATTAATACTGTTAGGTAAACAACGTAATAAGGATCAAAGTCCAGTTTGTACCCATGTCTTGTCTTCAAAAAAGAAACGAAGTAGTTGGGTACTGAAATTTAACTGTGCTAAAAGTAAAGGTTCTAAAAGCACAGATATTATTTCTGGTCAAGGAAATAGTAGTTCAGATTGTGTGTGCACTGGTTATAGAAGAACCGAAGAACCTCCTATGGAAGCTAGCGTCATGTTTAATAGTCGATCTGCTCCGCAAAGTCCAATACTTGGACCTCTTCCACCCAGTCCTGTAATTGATCTTTCAAGATTTAATCCAGAGGAATTTCCAATGGAGGTATGTGTTATTATGTTTACGACATCTTTATCCGGAATGCATCCTATCCTAATCATTTTGCTAAATTTTGTTGTAGGACTGTGACGAAAGAGCTCGATTACAACGGGCACGAGAAATAGAGGAAGGCGTTGAACCTCCTCCTGGTTATAAACCTAACCTTTCAGGGATTCAAGTACACCCAAATGGAATAACAGTGGACAGTTTAGCAGCTTTATTCCAAGCACACGCTGGTATACATGCTGCTGCTCTCACAGCCTTATCACAAATTGATTTTGCCTTAATGTCTACTATCGAAAGGCCAGCACATACGCAGGTATATCAGTTGATTTTTATTCAAAGTCGAAAATTGAGTAGTAGTCACTGTTATTTAATTTTGTTTTTCATTTATAGGTCGATTATGTACATTGTCTTGTGCCAGATCTTAAATCAATTACAGCTTGTTCTTTCTATTGGGGAAAAATGGATAGATACGAAGCTGAACGTTTGTTAGAAGGTAAACAAGAAGGCACATTCTTGTTGCGAGATTCAGCCCAAGAGGAATTTTTGTTCTCTGTTAGTTTCCGAAAATATGGACGATCTCTGCATGCCCGCATTGAACAATGGAATCATAAATTTAGTTTCGATTCGCATGACCCAGGAGTTTATGCATCGGAAACGGTACGAAATAGAACTCGGTACTCAATGAAAAGGGTAGTCAATGAAAGTCTAAGTAATGTTCGATACGTGTTTTTGCAGGTATGTGGTTTAATAGAACACTATAAGGATCCATCTTGTGGTATGTTTTTCGAACCTATGCTTACGATACCATTGCATCGAAATTTCGCTTTCCCTTTACAACATTTATGTCGAGCGGTAATTACCACACGGACGACGTACGATGGTATAAATAAGTTGCAGTTGCCAAAGACGCTTAAAAGCTATCTCAAGGAATATCATTACAAGCAAAGGGTACGAGTTAGGCGATTAGATACTGAAAATGATTTACAATCAGATGAAAAATCCATATCATATTTACCTTTAATATGAATCTCTGTATTCATATTCAATAGAGTCGACATTATTTTATTGATCTTGCATTCGTGTCTATTACTTTACTGCAGTCATACATATATGGCATATGTACAGTAGCGGGACTAACATCAGTATACGGAGTATCGATACTTATATAAATAAATGTATCAATTTTTCGTAAGCGTTGCAAAATTTAAGAAATAATATTTTCTTTTCTAATGGTATCCGTCCTTTATTTTTCTCGTTTTTAAATTTCCTTTTAAGGAATTGTTACAGCCTTGCGATTATATTTACATTCCTATAATAAGTATCGATAATTTCAAACGTAACGATTAATTTAAAAGATTGTAAGAATAAGTGATGATGTGGGCCCACTACTTTCGTATGCGCAGTATTACAATGTTGAAGATCGAAATTTTTTGAAATATTTCATTCAACAAAGAAATCGCAATACTAGCAAGTAAATCTTACATATTCCACATAAAAGGAAAGAACCCAAGTACATATAATTGAAACAGTAGTTAACATTTTCACTTTATCATCATGTCTTACTATTTACATCACAAACATACAAGTGCATTGAGTTAAACACAATAACATGTAAATACCTTATAACAGCAGCTTGAAACACACGACGTATTATAAGTTTTATATATTTTAGTAGTTAAATTTTTTCTTACTAAGTTTTTCGTAATTTAATTTTGATTGATATTCGTTTGAAACTATAAGTTAGTTTATATCTTTGTGCTTAGAAGAAATTGAAAATGTTAAAATTTCTAATACTCTATTTTCGAGTACATTCGATGAATTAAGGTTTTTTAGGAAATCTGATTTGTATCACTCTCTTTGTGCCTACTTATTACATGAAACATGATTCATATTGAAAACTATCAGTGTTCGTGTTTATCATTATTAAATAAAAAGAAAAAGAAATTTTTTATGTGTATGCAATTATTTTCCACCTTAGTAGGAAGTGTGTTCTTAAGTATTGAAAAAATTAGTTTCTTATTTAACAGTATATACATATTGTTATATTTAAAGTATAAGAATTGGTCATAACATACATGCTTAATCATTTTTTTAATGGAAATTAAAGTAAGATGTTTGTTACTTTTAACATTTAATTATATTGTGTACAATTTTGAAAAAATACTAGTTTAATAATTAAATTAAAAATTAAAATAAATGATAAATTAATGGAACTGTACATTGGAATGTTACAGGTTTAACTTATGATACCAATTATTCATTAGAAACTTTTCCTGTTACTTAAGGCACAAATTTGTGCTGTTTTCTTCATGGTACATTTAATTAATCAAGACTATGCTTCTTTTGAAAGCAAGGTATATTGTATAACTGGCAATAATATCTTGAAATTGAATAAGAAGAAGGAAACAAACAGCACAACAAGGAATATATCTACATTTGATATAGGATAATATATCGTGTTTGAAACGTTTGGTTTTAAGAAAATTGCATAAATTATATTAATTATACTGATTGTATTTTAATACGTACTGATTAAATTTTTATTTCTTACATCATTTAAAAGGATACTGATGAAGTTTCTTTCCCATTTTTCAACCATGTATAATTCCGTAACGAGCATGTACCTGAAGTACCAATATTTTAAGAACGAAAACAGTTTTTGTAACGAATCAATCATGATTTCAAATATTCGTAAGAAGTTTCAATCGAAATAACGAGGTTATATTTTGGCTTTACAAGAGCGCAGAATAATGCGTTTTAGATTACGAAGTTCGATAACTGTCGCGAATGCAGGTCGGTTAATCGAACAGCCACCAAAGTTTGTTTTTACATTGATAAGAAGTTTCCTTCGACTTTAAAGAAAATTTAACGATACCTACACGTTTCAGCGAATTTTGCATCGTTTTGAAAGGTAATAATTTCATTGAAATATATTAGTGTACAGTTGGATAATTATTATTATAATACGTACATATGAATTTTGATATATAAAGTTGTACGTACTTATATACATTTATAAAACACTATATTAGGACAGATTTTTAAGTATATAGTCGTTGAAATACATTAACATTTTCTGCATATCTTCGTATTTTGCCACGGAGCAAGCTTCCTCGAGCGGAAGCCACTTAAAAGCTTGATGTTCATGGGATAATCGAACAGGTTTGTCGGGATTTAATAGCTCTGCTAGCCAATAAACGACAATTTTCGGTTTTCCCTTTACCTCGTATTTTAATTCTTGTTTTGCATCATTGAAAATCTTTAAATCGCTGGCTATGAAACCAGCTTCCTCTTCCGTTTCACGCAGTGCGGTTTCCATATCTGATTCACCGGGATCAACATGACCTACGAGTAAGCTTCAAGAAATTAACTGAAACAATTGCTTCGTTTGCTTTGACAATGAAAAGAGGCATTATTGGCAGAAGTATGAACATTAATCATTTTGTCCAAAATAGGCATTGTATATACTTATGTATAGTACATACGGTGTATAAATGAAAGAAAGCTTCGACCGCTTATTTATGTACTTATACGCAGTTCACCAGAGTCCATAACTGCGACGCGCAGGTTAGAAGGTGGTGGGGGAACGCAGCGAGCTCTCCGCTAATCGCTTTCTACTTCGTTTGGGAGTATCGCCAATCAGGGCGAAGATGCGCACTAGAGATGCGTGAAGAACGAAAACTGGTCTTTTCGCAGTTATGGACTCTGGTGAACTGCGTATAAAGAGTTAAATTATAGGGTTATGCGAGTTACAAACAAGCGATTAGGTTACAAACCTTTTGGCGGTGTCCAATGATGTTCGCCATAAGAAACTTGCATTAAAAGGTATTCTATCGCTCCTTGCATACGACGAAATATAACGAAACCAGAAGCGCGGCACGCCATTGTGTTTACGCTTGTCTACACCGAATTTATAATGCGAACGGACTAGAGAATCCTGACAAAGTAACCATGAACATGAGGTTGTAATGCGATTATTCGTTTGCGATTACAAATTATCTTAGATTCCAGATAATTCGAACAGGGAATGCATTTTGCCATTCACGAAGCGTACCCTGATCATACGTATAAGAAAACGCTAGAGAATACATATTTATATTCAGAATGAAATAGATGGAAAGTATTATTATCGTTCGAATAATAACGTGTTTTTTATAGACGAATACGGGAAGAATATTCATGTGGAAACGAAGTTTAATAATTTCATATTTGACTAAGCGGTAATGTTACATTATTTGAACGAGATTTTATAAAAATGGCGCGTTCGTTCGAGATTCATCAATTAAAATATCGTTGAAGTACGGGTCTTGTTATTCGCAACTAAAATGCGAACGTACAAATAAAAATGAAAATAAAATATATACGTAAACTGGTAGTTGGTGCGTTTTGACTTAGTCTCTTTCCATTACGCGTGTACAATTTCGAAAGGAATCTTAATTGGGAAACAACGTGTGTCACCATTTTATTATAAACGTTTCTGCTACATTTTGTTGGCTAGATACCGATCACCAGAAAACATTTAGCAAAGCTGTATGTACGTACCTATCTACAAATTGTCACGTGTATGTATTGCGCGCGCGGGCGCGTGCAGGGCGAAGTGATACAGCTGGATGGATGACGGAACCGGACCTGATCCGATCAGACTCGGACTTGGATATTCCTGTGTTTCGCTATCCCTTTTACTACTTACAAAATAAAATAAAAATCACAAAAGTTTGTTCGCCGATGCGGTGCAACACGCGGGCAAACGCGACGCGACCAAAGCGTGCGCCCGCCGTTTCTCGAATCGTTAAAGTGTCTTATGTCATCCGTTCAGCCTTCCTTTTTAGTTTTTTTTGTTTTAAAGATCTTGAAAATCCATTGGATCTTACAATACTTATCGAGTCACTCCTAACTTCGTTAAACATGTCCATTTCTCGGTAAGCATTGATGATCAATTTACACGTGTATTTTGATGAAGCAAGCAAACGGCGAGCGAGCGAACGAACGAACGAATGAATGTACGGTGAATGCGTATTTATATCGTTACAGTGGAGAATTGTTTTCTCAACTACTTGCATCTTTTACAGGGATATACTGTTAATGCTATCGAAGGATCTTACTTTGTAACATTAATTCGTAACCGCTATCGTAAAGATAAATCTTTCTACAGTGTGTCGTGTGTCTTTCGTTATTAATTTTTTTTTCTTTTCTTTCTTCTTTCAACGACGACCACATTTTCAATTAATACACATAGTGGTGTTATTTCGAGGCGCGATCGCAGTAACGCGCATACATTGTACCCAAGGGAATTCCTCTTCTTCTTCTTCTTCTTCTTCTTCTTTTCCTTCCTTCATTGATTTTATTTCTTTCTCCTTGTCGATGTTTCCTTTCTCTATACTTTCATTTATAAAGGAATCAACGAAAGAGAAGCATTCGAATAGCCTGCGCGGCAATTCGATTCGCTTTTAATTTCGCGCGTCCGTTTTTCGCTCGAAATCGCGTTCGACGTTGCGGAATTCGGATCGAGAACGATGCCGAATTTCATCGACGATTAATCAAAAGGATATACTCGTCGTTTTCGTTAAATGGTAACGAAAGGAAATTTCGATGCACCTGGTACGTGAAAAAGCAGTTCGCTGTGAATCAAAAATTCCCGTCTCGGTGGTCTTTGCTTTTTGCGTGTGAACGAACACAGCTCCGATTAGACTATTTTATGGTATTTAGTATAATTGTGTGTCGGTCGTTTGTAATGTTTCTGAAAAGAAGATCACATTTCAATCGACGTGATTTTTTTTTCTATGTGTCTGTGTGTATGCGTGTTAGAAACGTGAAAAAATCATTCGAGTTTTATATTTATTTAAATAAATTAGTAATCGCCTAACGTGTAATGTATTCGATTAATCTTAGGCAAATATAAAAAGATTGTGATATATACTCGAGTCCCGAAGTTTCTCTTTTTTTTTTCTTTTTTTTTTTGTATCATTCCTTTGTGTGTGTTTTTTAGTTCACTTTACTCTTTCCTTCATTTCGTTAACTCTCTTTCTTTACTTTGTTCGTCTCACCGTGTCGTTCCTCTTCACCCGTGTTCATTCGTTATTTATCTCGTTTTCATTTGACCATCTTGTTCGCGTTTCTTGGTGTGAGGCTTCATTTATTTGGTTAATTTAGTACCTTCGAATATTATATTATGTATATACACCAAGTTTGTCTCTAGTCGCCTCTACATTTACAATAATTCTAATTTAAGTTGATTCAACCGCGAATACATCTGCGAATAAAAGATTAAATAGCGTAACAGCGTATAGCCAATTACATTACTTAAATATATAATCTTACACGGTATCCTTCGTAGAAATAACAGATCTCGTAATCGACGATGTGTCGTGCGCGCGTGCATTATCTCCTAGGTATACACTGTCGGAATTCATTCGGAGCAAAAAGTACACTTGCGTCTTTAATCGTATTATTTAGATACGAATAAGAATCGTTCGACGACGGCGGCGACGACGACGATGACAATCTTTAATTTAACGTTAATTAATAGCTCCTTTTTTTTTTTTTTTTTTTTTAATATATCTTCCTATCACCTCCTCTTTCTTGTTTAATATTGTGTCGTAATATTATTTATACGCTATTAATAAAAATAAAAATAATTATAATAATCATCATCATCATCATCATCATAATCATTAGACATTAATTAATTGGCTAACCGCCTATAGTTGTGTTGCATAGTTTTAAACTTATAACGTAGATAAAAAAAGTAAAGTATCATAAAAATATTTGAAAGAGTAAATGGTTCGGCGCGTGCAATGCTAGTTCGCTCGCGTTATTACATTTCACGTTGTTGAGTTTCATTCAACGTTCGACGAACGATGAGTTGTTAATAATTAATAGTTGTGTAAAGGATAGTACTTAGACGAGTAGAATTTTGTTTCATTTTCTTATGCGTGTTCCTTTACAACTTTCTCGAGTAGTTTTGATCGATTATGTACAAACAGACCGCTTGTCTCCTTAAGTGCTTCCTTACAGATATAAAACGTATTTTCGAAAAAGACAACGTTACGAAAAAGAAAGACTGTTCACGTTGTAGGTGTGTTCTGCACGATGATACACGCGTTCGATCGAACGATCAATGATCGTTTCCATCGGCTACGAGTGTCCCTCTATGTATATTTTCTCAACGAACACGTTTCTTTTCCATCCACTCCCCCTTTATTCCCACCCGTTCTTTCCTCTTTGTACAGAAAAGCTTCGTTAGACACAGTTGAAGCGCAAAACGTGAATTCCTTTACTTCACCGACCACCCCAAGAAAACCGTCTGGAAAACTTAATACTGCAAATACGAAGCGTTCTTGCAACTTGCCGATGCTCGTTTCGATAGAGTACAAAGAGAGAAATAGAGAAAGAGGGAGTACGACGGTGTACAAGCACGATTTTCAATACTTTTCCGTTCGGTCGTGACGGCGTTCTTCGTACAAACGGAAAGGAATATCAAACAATTAACTCGATTAATCGCGGTCCGTTCTCTCCTCTTGCCGTGTGTTTTAACATTTCCCTCGCTTGTGCTGTCCCTCCCTGCCACTGCCGTGTCTTTCCTTCCTTTCTTCCTTTCTTCCTGTCAATCATCTCGCGTTCGGTCGTGATATCGAGAACCGATCCCAGTTTCGTTTTGGCACTCGAGAGTATTTGTTGAATACGCGGTTCAATCGTATCGAATCACAGTGTTCCAGTACCTAATATCCGGAAGCCGGGGCACGATTGTTACGCGTTTGTAGATCGGTGTGCGATCGGTGAGAGCTTTATAGCTCAGGTCAGCTCAGCTCGGCTTACGTTACTTTCGCCGTTCGACTGGGTTCACCTGGGTTCGGGATGATTCTGGTTAAACGAAGATCTCTCTGTTCGGATCGGATTCGGATTGGGAACAGGAATCGGTGTCGGACTTGAACGACTGGGAATCGGAAATCGAAGCGGAAGTGGTGGAGGATGAGGAGGATTCGTCCCAGAAGAAGTAATAGTGAAAGTGAACGCTTTCAGACCCGAGTCCGTGTCATCGATCACGAGGGCGTTATGGGTTGGCGCGGGCGGCTAGAGCGCCTGTTGTCGGCAGTCACAGCTTGAGCTCGTTCGCTATCTTGCTGGCAATGTTTTTGAAACCGATCGACGTGCCTGAGATGCGTTTGAACCGTACGCCGTTCAAAGAAAGTCGTGGCAGTTTACAGACTTCGATCTCCCATTGTACTTGACTGTCGGTCGCCGCGTCGCCGTGCGCGCACAGCAGCAGGAACCTTTCGCGCTGTTCGTACTGACACTTATTGGCGTCCAATACCTGAAGCGATCGACATTAGTTAGTTAAACCGTTCATTTCAAACCCAATCAATCAACCTAATATGCCGAAACTATATTCTCGAGAGTATATATATATATATATATGTATAACTAACTAGAATTTGCATATCGCTCTTTTCTTATTACTTCCCGTACGGTGTGAAAGAAACGGAGATAAACCCATTTAGGATGTACCAGTGTGGGCTAATACCTTTCGAATTTCGGACATGATTTCGTTCGGATCTCGACTACTCGTAGTTTTCATACTCCATGTGAAACGTAGACTGCGTGGTTTAACCTGCTCATCGTTAGTGGTTGCTCCGCTGTAACAAAAGAATGTTTTAAATCCGCTCGATTCACGCAAACGATCACGCTCTTGTCCAACATGCGACAGACAATTCATTTTCCGATACTTTCATCGGACAGTTCCGATAGTTTCCTTTTATCTCGCATTTGTCTACCGTATCTCTAACGCGTTTCACTTCGTTTCAATTTTAATAATAAATAACCAAAAAAAAATAGCTAATTTCGATATCGAGGCTCAAAGAGTGAACGCGCATCGGTACCAAGGTTCTCTAAACGAGTCGTTGCTCGGCGAAGCTTCGAAGGACGCAACGTAAAAACGTAACACGTAACACGTAAAACGTGATTTGCGTGCATACATGCAATCGGTGTCTCATACACACTGACAAATTAAAAAAGGAAATAGGATCAGTCTTGGGAATTATCACGATCGTTCGTTTCGTCTTTCCACGCGATCGCGACGAAAACTCCACCCCTAAACTGTATAAACTGTGATCTTTGCAAAAGCGTGCAAACGTTTTCTGTTTCTCCTTTCTGTGCTCCATAAACGAGCTAGGCAAAGAGAAAACGCGGTCGCCTCTGTGAGAATATTTGGAGAGCTGTAAAAAGACAGAGATAAAGAAAAAAAAGGAAAAAGCAAAAAAAAAAAAAAAAGATATACAATATAGAGAGAGAAAAGGAGACTAGAAAAGGTGTGAAAAGCGATTGCGAAAACACCTGGTTCCTACAAACAATTGGCAAGTACGCGAACGTAGGTAATTTCTGTGAATTTGCATAAACACATTTATTAACTCGCATACGTGTTACTTAACGTAGAACGGTTAGGCGATAAACCACAAACTTGTTAATCGCAAATGCAATGATGCCGGGGGGAAACCAAGTTGGTTCGCGTTTTGTCACGTCTCGTCGAACTCGTTGTTCGAATAACAAAATATTACATAAACGACAAGCGTGTAGATGCTTCAATTTTCTTCTTTTATTCATCACTTTCGAAGCGGTACGAAATTAAATGTGAAAACCAAGAGTTGGACGATCATGACAAACGAAAAGTTGGAGAAAAAGAAACTAGAATTATAAAATTTATAGGGAGAAATAAAAAAAAAATAATTAAAAAAAAAAAGAAGAGAAAAAGAAAGAAACGAAGGGATTTAGCTTTAAAAAAATTAGAACGTGTGGACCGTGGTATTATGGTATGCAGCAACGTACCTCACTACTGGGTGCTTGGGGGGTACGGATGGGTCCATGGGGCTGAAATAACAAAACAAAGGTAGTTGCTAACAAACACTAAATATGATAAATCATCGAATCAAATTCAGTTCACGTGTAACCACCACCATTCTATTTTATCACTGCACATCTATTTGCGATAAACGACGAATAATAACGGGAGTATTGGCAGATAAGCCGTATACCAAAGATCGTTTATGTATTTCTTTTCTTTTTTTAATCGTGTAAAACTAATTATCCTTATCGCATAACATTATTATATTTATCATTATTATCACTACCACTACTACTACTACTACTATCGCTATTATTACTATAATCGTCGAGTTGTTTCCAACAATTTCATCCTTCCAAGCGAAAACACAAACCGTTCTGTATTTTCAAATTTATATATCAAAGAAAATTTTATTCCTCGAAATGAAACTACTAAAACAAGAATAAAATAAAACAACAATAAAAAAAAGAAAAAGAAAAATACATTGAACGTATTTGATTCTCTTCGACTAGAGGATTCAGAAATAAATTGATACAACACATGTACAAGGCAGTTTTAACATATTTATTAATACGAAATTATTACTATTATTGCTTCTTAAAATTATTTTAAATAATATTTCTACTCAGTTTCTATCGGCTATTTACTGCCCTCCGTTTGTAAAGATCTAAAAGTAGATGCTTTCGTAGATGGACTCGTTCAATATCAGTTCAAAATCAGTTTCGATCAAAGGTTCATCGACGAAAGAAAAAAGAAAAAAAAAAAAGATAACGAAAGAAAGACAAAAAATAGAAAAGAAAAAAAAGTTGCTAAAAAATGAATCTCCGAACATTTGGACGGGCATAGAGTTCTGGAGTGCAGCAAAGAGCGTTAATCATTTACAGATGTGCTATATTCGTAAATCTTGCGTATAAACGTATTATATTGTTTCTCTTTTCTTTACTTCGTAAACTGTACACGTATCACACGTGTATACAACGCTCAAGACAATCGAAATGCATCGATATCTTTTTTCTCGAGTCTCTCTCGTTGTGCACGTGTACACTATCGATCTCGATCGATTCGTGGGTGGCCTTAGGAATGCGCTATCGATTATCTTTCCTTCTTCTTCTTTTTTTTCCCTTTTTTTTTTTCTCCTTTTTCTTTCTTTTTGCTTATAAAATTCTACGATCGCACGCATTCTAGGATCGTTGAACACGGACGAGGAACGGAAAACGTCTGATCCTTCGACGGGGTGAAAATGCATTTACGAAAAAATAGGAATCGGTACCGTACAACGTACCTGCCCCGAGTCTCGGCTTACACAGAACATTCGATAGCCACGATATGAAATGCAAAATGAAGCGGAAAGAAGAAAAAGGAATCACGACGATGTATCGCCGACGAATAACGCGCGAAGCATGAGAGGTAAAAACGCGCGATCAAACGTGCTCGTGTCACCGTGCAACCGAGCTTCTCGAGAAACTTAGGCACAATCCATTTTTTCGATTCGTTAAAAAAAAACAAAACAAAAAAAAACAAAAAAAAACGAAAAGCTCGAGCAACATCTTGGTCGTTAATTAACCCAAGGCCACTCTCTCTCTCCCTCTCCCTCTCCCTCTCTCTCTCTCGCTCATTCGTTCCTGCATTCGCACTGCTTTCGTGTCTCACTTTTGCACAATGCGTTACAAAAATTTTCAATTTTTTTTTTTTATTTGTTTTCTTTTTCTCTCTGTTTCTTATAAGTAAATGGTACGATAATCGTTACTTAATCGTTCATCACGTACATGCTATACACATCCAGCATAATTATGCTTATTAACTCGTGACGACCTTTGACAAAAAAAAAAAAAAAGAAAAAAAAAAACTAAAAAAGGAAATTAGTTGCATGATATATCTGTTGCTCCTTCTCGTGTGTTCTCCGTCTCTTCTTTCGTGGTTCGATTACGTGGTTAGGAATGCCTTCGATAATTCACCGTTTTAGCGATTATTCACTGATCGAAAGCGAAGCACGCGTGTGTTCGTCGAATCGCTTCGAGCAAGTGTGATGTGTAGCGTGAGAATGTAAACGAGAGATTGTTAGGCACAGCGTCGAGGGTTAGATACAGAGAAACGAAGGATGATTTATACGAAAGTGTGAAAAGTCGCGGCAAAAAAACCTTCGTTCAATCGGCGAGGAGGTGCTTCTTGTTTGTCTGATATCGATTCTCGGAAGATTCTGTCTGTCTCTCGCGTCTTCGACGATCGTTCAACCTTTCTTTCCGTTCATTTGCATTAAACAGTTTTACTTTCGCTCGCGAAGCTGTACAAAATACTCGAGGAAATGCAAATACTACGGATATATACCACGGTACAATATATTTACATAAATTACACGCATATGTATATCGCCATATACACGTACAAATGTTTGGACGAAAAAATTGATCGACGATCGTACGAAAGAATCGATGCGAGAATCTTCTGTTGCTTTCAAATTGGAACGAAAATTTTCGGTACACGAGGAACGAATATGCTGGATATCAAGAGAAAAAATAAAAGCGAACAAAAGAGAAAATCCATCGATCAGGGAATCTATCACGAAAATTATAATCTCTTGGGATCGAGAAGAACGAAAGAACCTGTAAGACGACTATAAAATAACCATCGAGTCGAACGAAAGAATTTAATTTGTTATCCAACATATTTCCTCCAGATTCGACGACAACGCCGTTTCGTGTGTTCGATGTGATCCCAGCTAGGGGATTCTCGTCGATAGAGAAAGAGAGAGATAGAGAGATAGAGGGTGAAACGGAAAAGAAAATTGTTTAAAGAATACGCTACGTAGGAAGTCACGATTGGCCACTTAGTCAGACTTTAACTACTTTGCCAGTAAAATGTCTGTATATTTGCGGTTGCTTGGTATTCAGCGTGCTGCTCGCTCTCATTTCGTCTCGAGGGAAACAAGGCGAGACTTCAGCCTTCACTTAGAAAACCTGTCAACGTACGAAGAATTTCCATGTACTTTTACCATTTCTTTGATATCGACCGTGTGACGTTTTGTTAGTACAATTATACCACTTTCGTAACGTTTCGTTAAGTTCATTGTAAGATTAGTCGAGTGCACCGTTTTTTCTTAGTCGTTTATTGTCCACGTTGGACGGGAAAACGTCGTCGGGATTGGAGAAAGCAGCGGACGACGAGAAATAGAATTATATCGAGGCGGACGGTCCTGGCGACGCGATACCCTCGAGTATACGCAATTCGTTAAAAAAGTCACACTTACAGGCACTGTTCTCTACGCTATCGGTGAAAATCTGAGACCACCCGATTCGTTGATGCATTCTACAATAAATCGAATTATTATCCGGTCGGTGATCGTTTTTCTTTTCTCTTGAAAAAAGTAAATGGAAAATAATGGAAGATAGCAATTGCAATCGGAAGGCAGTGGTCTCAAATTTCTTGATCGGTAGTGTATGTTGTGTACGATGCGAGCACCACACACGCGTATCGTATGTTGCAACGATCTCCTTTCTACCCTGTTTTCCCCATGGACTTGACAGCCCTCTTATCGTGTTGCGGCTCTTCACAGACGGAGAAGGGACCAGCAGCGTGATCGATAACGCGACGATAGGAAAAATATTTCGATGGAAAACGGACGCGGTTCGAAAAGGCTATTTGGAAGTTAACTCTAAAAGCTATTGCTACGTACGAGAGAAGTGGATCAACGAACGATCGAGGCTCGTCGAGTTTACCATACAGGGGAGGGAGGGTGTGTATGGTAAAAAGAAAAACGAAGCCGAAGTACGTCACGACGAACACGTATAAAAATAGAAAGAGATTAGGTAGTATATGTATGTCTTTCGAATGATGAGCGGCATAAATAGTGCACACGTTCGCTATAGCTGGCAGGCTGAGTTAGGAAAAGGCACAAGTGTTCAAACGCTATGTCTAAGTGGATAAGGCGCGCCTTCCTGCATCGTCGCGCGTCAGGAAGACATTTCGTGTTTGAAAATTCTCGGGATTCGCGCATGCTACGAACGCGAGAACGTCGCGTTCGGTGCACCACAATTGTTTCATTCGCAAAAACAAAAACAAATAAGAGAACAAAATAAAAAGGAAATAAAAACAGAGAAAAATTTAAAAAAAAAAAAAAAAAAAAAAAGAGAGAGAAGTAGATAAACATTGTCCGTAAACGAGGAGCGAAAGGGTTGCCTCTCGCTTCTGGATCATGGCGATGCACCACAGAATAACGGAGCGATTATACGCGCTTTACTTCCTTTGTTTTTCTCGTAGCATTTTCATTTCTTTGCATATTGTTTCTCTCCAACGCATATCCCGATATCCGTGGACCCGTTGGCCGGTAACGCGGACCTGTTTGCCATTCTTCCGGCCGGATCGAACACGCGTTAGGCTCGTTGGGCATGCTGAGTTCGCGCGAGCTCGAGAGCGCGCGCATTGGTCGTTTAGTTTCGCGCTTGTCTATGGCCTTTGTTTGACGGAACTCGAGCGAAGCCAAGCTTTAATCGGTTCATGTCCTGTAGCACAGAATACACCGGTATAAATTAATTCAAGTGTTCAGAGAATATTAAGCGATGCACCAATGGCTATGCTGTCTCGGTTAAAAATCGGGCATTCTTTCAAACAAAATATTATCATATTTCTCTTGTTCTATTCTTGTTTCTCTTTGTTTTATTTTTCTTATTCATTTATTTGAAATCATTATCGTCTTTTCATCGCGTTCATCGCCGATGCGTACAGTGACCATATCATGAAAGTACATAAATAGCGCGTTTTCTGTTTCAAACGACGAACCGTATTTTATACTCTCGTTATTCTGTGGCCTCGCGGCTCCTCGCGCAATTCACCTGACTCTCGGTTTCGTACACCGTAATGTATCCTCGTATGTTCTACCCGGCTAAACAACAATCGCGCGAATCGTCGCAATCGCGACTGATATACTGTTTTCTTTACTGTTCCACGTGACAGAGTGAGAGGTGTCCCATTTTATCGAGTAGGTAAAGTACTAAAAAGTCAAGGATATACCTCGCTACAAGTCGAGTCAAAAAAAGGGATGCACAATGAATATGCGAGGCGGCCTGAACACGGGCCAAGCAAACATTACTTTCGTCGACGAATCTCTCTCAGGGCTTTCTCTGTTTCAACAAAATGGACAGCGCTCGTGCGCGTTAAGCGAATACGCTCGGATATACGGGCACAGAACGGATAACGAATACGTTTCGCTGAGAATCGGTCTGATCGTTTGGCAACGAATCGTATTCTTCTTGGGAAAGGAGAGATACAGAGGCAGTGAAACAAAGAGAAAGCATGAGAGAGATCGAGAGAGATAGCGAAAGAGATAGATAGACAGAAAGAGAGAGAGAGAGAGAGAGGCTATATAACGTTCGGTCTACGAAGAATCGAACTAAGGGTGCTAGAAACCTTTCAAGCAGAGATGTTTATGAGGCAAAGAAACGCTAAAATTATTACGTGAACGCGGTTTTCACTTTAGAATGAATTGAAAGTAGCGTATAAAATAAAGGCAAAAAATAAAAATAAAAAATAAAGTAAAAATTATATTTGACATCGCGAATAAGCAACGTGATTTCGTGGCTTTCACTGATAATGGTCGCTGCTCGCTCATCGGATTGCTAGGCGATCATACTCTTCTATCATTCTTTTTTTTTTTTTTAATATATTCTTTTTCTCTTTGTAATCGTGATACGGTACGTATACGTGTACAGAAATTCATAATTAATCCGATAATAGAAATGTATGTCGTATCAGCATACAGTTTTTCAGAAAATTACATAGTCATTGTGCATCCTTAAAAACAGAAATGTCATATTTGCATGCAAAACCGTAAGGTTCGACTCGTTTGTCAACTATTTGCAGCATGAATATAAATACAGTCCAAAATCGTTTGTTTTCTTTTTTTTTTTTTTTTAAATCTTTTTACAGGATCAATTTCTACGCATGCATCGAAGGTCCACTGCAAAAGCTGCCGTGTTGTATGCTTTTCTTTACGCTATTTACATAGAGACGGAATCGGATCGTTGGAAATCGTATGATTTATGGAAGAAAGATCGATAGTCGTTTCAAACTTTCATTCCCGAAACAAAATGTTACTTCCAAATGTTAATTTCATTTATGTCTTTGAAAAACAAAAAGGTATGTTTCCTTCGCTCATTGAAATGGTATCGACATTACGAAAAGATACTCGGCCAAAGTTCGATCATGACGTTAAGAAGTGTATCTTTGAACGAACGGTGGTACTTTACAGTGGTACATGTACTAGCATGCTGTCAGATATTAAAGAAAAAAAAAAGGAAAAAAAAAAAACAAGAAAAATCCGTCTGTATGATTTACATACGATTAACGAATCGATAGAACTTACCGTTTGGAGAACCTCGAGGATAATTTCGAGAAGAAGGACGGTCTCGCTAGTGGGCTAATTGCATTCGTATCCTGTGTATGCGTGTGACCCTGAAAAAAATTATCGAATACAGTAATTGGCGATAATTATATCAAACGACCGAAGGATATAAATCTATGACTTTTATGATTGGTCAGTTATATAAAACGATGGTATACACAGGTCGATACCTTTAAACCTCTCTGAACGATCACAAAATAAATGAAATAAAATACAAGATATTTGTTTCTTGAATTTGAAAAGTTATTGGAAGATGTTCTCGTACGAACCTGAGTATGATTTCGCTGAGCTCTGTTCTGGCCAGAATGGAACGTGCTACGGCTTGGAACATTTCGAGGAAATGCTGGTGTTGTAGGTGTTGCCAGTCTATTGCTTGGAGACACGCCCAAGCTAATTAAAAAGAAGGATTTTTATCACGTTAAAATTGGCCGACGGCGATCGTTACGCGTATATACGTATTACATATGTATAATTATATGTACATATAAAGAATAATTGCATCGTTCGTGTCGCTTCGTTATCAGCAATTTGTGCACAATTAACGAGTAACACAAGTAGACCTTTCGTTTCCGTTCAGCGTATCTTTCGTTACAGAAGAAGCTAGAGACAAGATGCAAATAAAGATAAAGAAAAAGTAAAGTGATAAATCTTGGTCATTCGCGCGAACTCGTTTGGGGATAATTAATTATAAATATTATATAAATGCACAAGCGATGTCTCTACGTCTTGCAAAATCAAGCTTCGACAATTTCAGCTAAAGAAGCGGAACTCTGGACAAATTAGCTCGCGCTAATCATAAGTTACATTACAGTCGGGTACGTGATGTATTGAAACAGTTTGCGTTTGTTTGTGCATGCGACGACAGAATGTACGATCGAACGAAGTTGGTCCGTTTCATTAACTACGCGACAACGAAATCCGCAATTTAAAAAAGAAAAAAGAAAAAAAAATAAGAAAACTTTTGCTCCCGATATTTGCTTCTTTCGTATTAAGAAACACACGTACGAGATTGCACAACTGCGTTCGCGTTCAACAATAAGTGCGATAAATGAGAAATGAAATGGTGATCAAAGCGGATGATCAGAATGTGGAAAACTAACAACGAACAGCATGCAAGTTAGAAACGTAAGTTAGACAAAAAAAGGAAGTAAAATGACCAGAAACTGTCCTAGAGAACCTACGAGGACAACTTTACAAGTGTCATAGAACATCTGGACGGCTATATCGGTATGATTTATCGTGTATACTACTACTCCTAGTTACCCTAAGAGAGTTAGTGGCCCAAGAAAGAAAAAAAAAAAAAAACGTATCCGAATATTTCTCGCAATACAGGGTGCTCCAATAGTCTATCGTACCGTTGCACCGATTATCGTTAGGAAACTAAACGTGTCACAATGTTTTGTCAGTAAAATAATTATTATTCGGATCTGTAGATTGCACGTTAGACTTTTGGCAGCATCTAGTAGAGGAATGTATACAGGTTGGCTGATAAGGCTTTCGGGACCTGTACCTCTGTCTAAGAGGGTCAGCAGTGGCGAGTAAGGAGTTGTGGGCGTTGCGTGGTTGTGGGTCCAGTAGTGAATGGTCGCTGGGGGGTACGCCAGTCGAGGAACGGTGACCTGCGCTGATGCTCGCAGACTTGGTGTGACCCCGCGTTGGTCTAGTGCCCTCGCCCAGGCTGTGTAAAAAACTAATCAACAAACTGCCCGGCCCTATTTCTTCTACAAAATCTACACAGCAATTCTTTCTCGCGAATTATCGACTTAACCCGTTCTCTTCGAATTTTTCTGCATCGAAACTACGTAGCTCTGCGCTACGTACACAATCCCGAATGCGTTACGTCTTCTCGTCGTCTAGACGACGAATCTTGCTAGATTTTTGCTTTGTCCAACCGATCTATCGTATGTACGATGGGATACAGGATACAGGAACAGTCAGAGAAAATTAGAGAAGAGAGAAGGGGAGATGAACGAATCGATATACAAGTTGAAGATCAGAGGAGTTTGTGTACATCGACGAGAAACGATGAAAGGATAAAGGTGTAATTTCGCCTCGTGTTACGAACGATCGTTGTTCGCGAGAAACGCTACGACAAAGGGTAACAGAATATGAGGCTAAAACATAAGGATGACGTATGTATGATGATGTTAATGATTGTTTCTATACACACAGACTGGTAGATCTAGATATACGTTTTGTAAAAACAGAGTAAAGAGACATGTGAAAATGTAACTGTGGCTCGGTATAAAATTCTTAGCAAGCATCTGTATAAATGTATACACGTCTGATCGAACTATATGTTTCAATTAATCCGTCAAGCCATAAAGAAAGTGGTCTGCGATGAGAACGATCGACAGGCAGCAGCCAACATGCTAGAGCAATGCAACAAACAAAGAAACTCCCTGGGGCTTAACGACAGATTTATTTCTGTTATCGGGATCGATCGGTTTCTCAACGATTATCATCGGGGTCTGTTTTTAGTTCGCTTAACGTACGAGCAAATCAATCACCTGTTGAGGGTTAGTCGGTACAATGAAAATAATTGTTTTTAGTCAAAACGAGACACTGCAAATTATGCGAATCACAAACCAAACATTCAGGTGTGCGTTAAAAAATTTATATTCGATTGATGTGTACACTGGATTTAACCCTTTCGTTGCGCAACAGTCGCGAATGGGTCTGTAAAATCAGATAAATAAATTTGTTTACTTTATACGTGGTTATGCAACGAAAGGTGTACGAAATCGTATAGATCCAATGAACCATGAATCGTTCCACTACATCGCGCGACTTTCTTTCGCTTCTTAACTTAACATATGTTTAATTGAAAAAAAAAAAAAAAAATAATAGTATATACGATTTAAGAAACAATTGGATGTCACTATACCTGGGTGCGTCGTTGGTTCTTTCGGTAGACGAGGAGGACGTTTTTGCTTGATCGTAAGAGATGGTACTACGTCGACCAACAGAACCAGGGGCAGGTGAGGTGAGTGGCCGACCACCACCTACCCCTGCATTCATCGTGTTGCTCTTTCCTGCCCATCCCCTACCACCGGGACTTGTACCCACGCCTAGAATGAACATTGTCACTGCAAGCCTCATTAGATATAGTTCAACACAAAACAAAGCAGCGTACTTGACTAAATTATAAAAAGGCACGGCAACGAGGGATTAGAACGCAAGGAAATAGCGCAACGTCTCATCTGCATCCGTTTAAATGATCCAGACCTGTGATCTTTGTAATCGACGAAAGATATCCTCCCTTAAGAGGGTTTCGAATGATGTCAGATGCGACGTTGAAATTATAGACATGTACGATAAGAACTTTCTAACTCTAGATTAAACATTTGCAACTGTATGATTCATGATTTACGAAATGTATCAATATTTTGATCGATGCGATCTATGCTACAAACAGGTTGCATCTATCGTCTAACACGTATCTAAGGTATTGAAATTTAATCTAGAGTTGAATGGTAAATTAATCCTCGAAATGGAAAGGTTTACGGTATTAGGAGCACGAGTGGCGTGACATTAAGAGAAAAAAGAAGATAAAATAAAGAAATAGAGATAGAACATAATTAAATTCCAAATAAATTGAAATTCATTTTGAATGGATTAGGCGACGAGTAACCTTATCCAAAGCAGATATAATTTTGCTAAAGCTTAACAAGTACAGCGTCGCAAAGAACAAATTAGACAAATTGTCGCAAAAATTGCATTAAAATAAAAATTAATAGTTACGGGATAAGGAAAAAAAGAACTCACTGGTATCTAATTGGCCTGGACTGTTTTTAGGAGCCGAGGGTCGGCTCGCGGATACACGAGCACTGTTCTCCTTGATCGTGGCCGCGTCCACGGTATTTTGTCGTTTAAAATTACTACCGCTGGTTCCAGTCACGGTGCCGCCGGTTGTAGCAGTCGCGTGATTATGGTTCGTTGCGTTTCCTGGACTCGGTGCTGTTCCTAACAGCGTGAACAACACGGTTTAGCGAAATCAGAACACAACAAAGAGCGCGGATCGACTGAATAATCGTAACTCGGGCTCGATACACCAGTAATCCCTTAAATCCGTTAAGTTAATTCTCTGTAACTTGACAATATTATGAATTCTCCTCGCGACGAGACGTTCTTTTCTTTTTCTCTCCCTCTCGTTCGACTCTTCTTACCTAAACGTCTGCTTCTTTCGCGTCAACGCGAGACACGGTTCGATAACCGGACAATAAGTTTGATAGTACAACGGTACGAACGGGACCGAGGTAAAGAAGAGAACAGCATTCACTTACGAAGCGTTTCAAGACCGGACGAAACTCGTCTACTCGGTTTTGGATTGCTAGCGGAAATACTTCTGTGAACACCTCTGTGAGACGGGCTTTGCACCGCGCCACCTGTTCCTCCTCCGCTTCCTCCTCCTCCGCCTCCTCCGCCGCCGCCCGAACCAGCCTGCGGTGGAATGTTGCGCAGCGACAACGAACTGCCTGACCGCGAACCGTCCGATTCAGGCTACGAAACATCGATCATAGTTCAGTTTAAATCCTCGATCGTTACCTGCTGACTCGATTTCTACGTACGAGCGGAGATTTTCTCGATTTTTTCTCTTTCTTTTAAATCCACTTACATCGGTCGTCTTTCTTCCTAACAATAAGTATGTGGCGAACACGTCGTCGTACTTTGCCTGCCCTAACGAATCTTCGATTTCGCTCCTCGTGTATCCCATGCTAGCCAGGGCCTCTAAAACAAACAGGCGTAGCGGCATAGTCACAACCACTAGGAACATCGAAATAACAAAAAAAATCGACCCGGAACGTGGCGCGAAACGTCGCATGCTAATTCTAATTAAATCTGTTTCGCGTATACGCTAATCGATCGTGACAAACAAGGGTGGGCGGCTTTCTAAAGGAAAACTCGAACGATCGTTACACAATGAACAACATCCAAATTTTAAAGAGGGAAACGATCTCTACCACTGCTAATGTTTACAAATGGCACAAGAGCGGCACGTAACGTTATGCAACTTTGTACTTTCTATATACGATTAATAAAAATACAATAAATAGTAAGTTTTTATGTACATACTGGCAGACTCACCTATCCTCTTGTGGTCTTTATAATCTGGTTCAGGTTCTAAGTACGGTTTTAGTTCGTCGTCGTCGTATCCCATGTTCATCCACTTGTCTTTCATTATAGTCTAAAAAATAAAAGTAAAGAAAGAAAGAAATTAGAAGATGAATCGCTATAAAATCGTATCCATGTAAGTATGTTTTACACGTACCTCTAAAGAAGCCCGTTTCGTCGGGTTGAGCACCAAAAACTTTTTCAAAAGGTTTTCGCAATCGGTGGACATGTAAAACGGGATCCGATATTTTCCTCTCAACACCCTTTCCCTTAGTTCCCTCAAGGTCGAGCCGTCAAAGGGCAACGAACCGGACACTAAAGTATACAATATTACTCCCAACGACCAGACGTCTACTTCGGGTCCGTCGTACTTTTTACCTGTCGATGAACGAGCATCGTCAATGTTGCTTCCCGTCGAGCGATCGACTCGAATGAAGTGTTATGAGAAAATGAAAAGACGGATAATTTATCGGAGTATATACCCTGAAAAAGTTCGGGTGCTGCGTAAGGCGGCGATCCACAAAAGGTGTCCAACTTGTTGCCCGGTGTGAATTCATTGCTAAAGCCGAAATCAGCGATCTTGATGTTCATCTCGCTGTCGAGCAACAGATTCTCCGCCTTCAAGTCCCTGTGAATAATCTTTTTTTGATGGCAGTATTGCACGGCAGACACGATCTGCCTGAACTTAGCTCTCGCCTCCTTTTCCTTCATTCGACCGTGTAGAACCAAATAATCGAACACTTCGCCGCCGCTAGCATACTCCATAACCAGGTACAGTGTTTTCTCCGTCTCGATCACTTGGAAAAGCTTCACTATGTTCGGATGATCGAGCATCTTCATTATTCTTACCTCCCGGAATAACTGGAAGGTAATATCAAAATTCCGTTTATTTATGGCTTCTTATCGCATTTATTAATTAAAAATAATTGATGTGAAACGAAAGGGGCTTACCTTTTGAAGGCTACCGGGATTCAGTTGAGTCTTGTCGATAATTTTGATAGCCACTTCTTTCCCGGTGGGTACATGTTTGGCAAGTTTTACCTTGGCAAAGTTACCCTTACCAATTGTTTTGAGTAATTTGTACTTGCCAATGTGGGGCTCCTCCGAGGTCCGACTCCTCGAGGAGAGCCGACCACCGCTACTCGACACTCCCACGCCATCCCCTGTCTGTAACTGACGGAAATCCTCGCTTTTAACGTGAACAAAAAAAAAAAAAAAAAAAAATTCGAAACAATACGTGCAGAGATACACTTGGCGATTACTCTCGTTTGAAATAAATTGTACGACGCGATAAGGTAACACGGTTAAAGTGGTTATTAATTTCAATCCGTAGACGTCGTACAGAATTCGCTTTGACACTTGGACTTATCAAATTTCACGATCGCGCATCCTTGTATTTATTTACGCGTTGCACGAGCACACTTGACATTTCCAGGGACGGGCAATCGTCAATGGAATTAATTGAAGCTCGTTAAAGCTGCACCAGATACAGATTGTTTTCAACGAAACGCGACTGGTTATTTTGCTCGAGGAGCAAACCTATCCGTTGTAATTTTCAACGAGAAACGATAGAAAGAAAGAAAAAACAACGATAAATGAAACAGAATTTCGATACGTCTGATTACACACGTCCATTTTCACTGTTCCGGTCGACGCGTTGAAATGCAACACGATTTCACTTTAGTTTCGTGTCGCGCTTATTAGAAATATTTTACTTTCGATTCCTTGCATTCGACTGGCTGTCGAAGACGCGTAGAAAAATTAAAAGAAAAAAAAAAAAAAAAATAGGCAAACGGAGAAAGGTAGGTTAATTTCAGTGAAGTCAATTACCCGCGTGTGGCCACGAGTGACCATCTTGCAAGAGGTGGCCGCAGCAACTTTCGAGGCCGCCAGCTTGACCGATGATCTCTTCGACAGGTCGAGAGACGAGAAGATCGACGCAAAATCAGAAACGACGAGGTATCACTTCTGCTCGTGGCGCATCTGAGACGCTCACGTAACCAGGATTATAAACCCTCGATTTTCGACTCAACGAAAACGAATTATTGTCTCGAAAGCGCGAAGAAAAGGCTCGATCGAGCGAGACGATCGAACATAGACGCTCTCTCTTTCATCCTCGTTACTCCGACCAATTCGATCGGTTCCAACTGCCTCGAACAACGAGTGAATATAAAATTACGAGTATCGAGACACGAAGCGTTTATCGTTCTTTCGCGTTAAAATCGATAACGTCGCGACGACGTGAGATAAAGAAATCTTTTGGTCCTTTGCGGGAGATAATTCTTTATGATCCGCATAATCAGGTACACGGGTGTACTTTTATTGGTCGATATAGTTAAGAAAAGTGAAAAGTTTCGAAGGAAAGTAGAAAAGAAAGAAAAGTTTTCTCGGCGCGAGGAGGTGAGGTTGAGCGTTAACGAAAGTGGCAAGTAGAGAAGGGTTTCGAAGAGACAGTCGTCGGGCAACCTTAAAACTGCGATCCAAACTAAAACGCGACGCCTTTTCGTTCGAGATGGTTTCGAACGAACTGAAAAAATATCGAAACGTCGAAAATATTAACGGCGAGGAATGGAAGGTTATCTATCGTTCGCCACGCATCACCGGGCACAGCGAACCGCCGTGTTTGCGTTGAAATGTTTGTTCGTTCGCACAATCACTGGCACGAAACTTTGTTGAATCCGTGAGAGGAAATGTTCTGCGGAGAGGCGCGGCACCGATTCTCAGAGGATTCGCAGTGGATTCGCAAGGAGAACGGAGCGTGGTGCACGATGACTCGGCAGCGAGTACGCGTCGACCAAGTCGTCTTCGTGGTTTATTCGAGGCGTTAAACGTAACGGTTTGTGGGATGATTTGAAGAGGCTCGAAGCTCGGCAAAGGAAACACCGATCGACGATCGAAGAAATCGAGGCTTCGGAGGCGTGCCATGGATGCGTCTGACGTCACTGATTACGACGGCCGGTCTTGGTGGGTCGGTCGGATCAACCGTGGTTCGAGTGAAACGCATTCTTGTTGACGTCCAACTTGATGATCGTGGATCTGACGAATGGAAGAATCCGAAGGGGAAGGCGACACTTAGTCACGACACGGATTCACCAAATAGACAAGCGGAAAATCACAAACACGATGGTGGAGGCTGGTCGTCGTCGCGGTCGTCCGACGACGACCGTGTACGCGACTACCTTCTCGGCGTTGGATTATTCGAGCGGACCGAGACGTTTGTCGGCCAGAGAGGAGCGCACAACCGAGGGATGCGAAAGGAGAATCAATACGCGTAATGCCGCCACCCCCTGCTGCTGCTGCTGCTGCTGCTGCTGCTCCTGCTGAAAGCGTGGAAGCGAACCACCCTTGAAAGCCCAGCTTTACGAACTCTCTCTCTCTCTCTCCCTCTCCCACTCTTTGCTTCCCTTTGCGAGCTACCCCGACACGATCACGGCGACGACGACGACGACGACGACGACAACGGCGGTGGCGACGACGACGACGACGACGATGACCACGACGATGCTCTACGCATGCGCTTACCACGGAAATAAGTGCCACCACCGTTCCTCTATCCCACCATTCCAACCCCTCGACGAGACTCTCGGTTTTCACCAGCAGTCCGCGCGAACGAAACAGCTTGCCCCTTTTACGAGGGAGCACGCGCCCGCGCGATCGAAACCAAGTTTCGCCCCCGGTCAGCTGATCACTCTGACGAAACAACTTTTTCAACTCGAAGATTACAAATAGATAAATCAAACCACTGTTGTTCGCTTCTGAGGAAGTAATAAAGGAGACATTAATTTTCGAATTTGAACGCGATATATACTTCGAGGATGTTGGTTCGAAAGAAGAAATAAGAAGGAAACGATCCGCGTAACGTGCGGATGGTTAATCGGCTTTGATAGGTCTCACGATCGTTAGGCGATACGCCTTCGCACGATACGAGCGAGCAGGCAGAGGCAGAACCAGGGAAGCCATCCGCGTTATTTTAGCTCGAACGGATGAAGCGCAGACTGGGCAAGCGAGGTGCGTGAGCCAAGCGCGCAGATGCGTTCACGATGCACTCGACTGCTCACCGAGGGATCGAATACTATGTCGATGAACGTATGATCGCGTGCTTCCCGTACAACGGGGATGCCTAGCGTCGTCAATTTTTCTTTTGCCTAGGAAATGTTTCACGATGAATTTCTCTCTTTAACCCTTCCCACCCTCCCAGGGTTTACCTTTATTTACCGTTGTTGTTCGATATAAACAATATCTACCTCCTTCTCATTTTGACCACTCTTCTGCATGATGTCTGACAACGGCCTTAATGCATTGTTGATCACGTTGCTCTGCCGTTGTTGTTGCTGCTGTTGCAGTAGTTGCTGCTGCTGCTGCTGTTTCTGCTGTTGCTGCTGTTGCCGATGATCTTTTTTCGTGATGATGGGCCGTGGGAATGCACGAGTTTGCTGTACCCTAGGGTGCGCACGAAGGGGCACTTCCGTTTCCTGCCCTCGCCTCGTGTCCGAGGCCGTCCTCGATAATTTCGTAGTGGGTTTCTTCGTCGCCACGCCGGCGTTTCCCGTCGAGTTCCTCGTCGCGTCTCCTCGGTGCAACGTGGAGGCCCTTTTCGTTTTAATTCACCATAGTCACTTACAACATTCTGGATGCATTTATGATTCTTTTTAAGGGGACACGCGAATCTAAGGGACGTTGATAATCCGATAATACTTGAATCTTCTCCTCGAAGGAGTATGAAATAGAAAAGAAAAAATGAGAAAGAAAGAAAAGAAAAGGGAAGGGTCGCGTTACGATGAGTAGAGAGAAAATTTTACCCCTCGGCCTCGTCGTCATCCGTCACGTTTCGAAGTAGATCCTCGTGTTCCCTGTATCGAAGGTCCCTGTATTGAATTTCGGATTCGAAATCGGAGCTGATCTCCAATGGACGCGTTCTGGCCGCGAGTGTGTCCATTTCGATGGCCTTGACCTGCTGCTCCAAACGTTGAAGCATGTCGGTGCTTCCCGTGGCGGGGCCCTTCGGTTGTTTCAAGATCAAATTCAGACTATCTCGAGGCACCGCGATCGGCTGAACGATCTTCGAGTCTCTGAAGGCCATCAGCTTTTCCCCGATATTCGGGTCCATCACGGGGCTCGCCGGAAGCGTCTTTCTCGCGGCGAAAGGCGGAGTTCGAATCTCGGCGGAGTTCGAAGAACGTTCGACGTTCCTGGGGACAGGATTGGCAGAGTTTTTCTTCTCCACCACTTGCAGACCGCGATCATCCTCTACCAGTTCCCATTGCTTCAGGTTATCGAACGCCGTGAGAGGTGCGGCGAGTCTTCCACTCGCGGCTGAATTATCATTCGTTTCCTTGCTCCGTCGAGGCATCGCACGACGCTGATTGTCCGTCATCGCAACAACGCTCGTTGCGACGTTCTTGCGACCACTTTGCCCTCGAATCGAGCCTCTGTTCGGATGCGACCGACAGAACAAACTATCCCGATCGTCCATGGCGCAGAATTCACTCGGTCACACTTTTGGCCAGCTTTGCCACCAGTCAAGAAGAAAGAACCTATCGTCTTCCGCTCGATACGCGACCAGCCTTGCCTCCTCGCGTCTTCCTGTCCGGACTCTTGGCAAACTTTTAAACGGACCCACGTGATCCTTCAACATGGACTCGTCGAACGAGCGGATCAAAGTCGACGGGCTGGTTGTCGGCTCGATTTCTGTTAGAAAAACATTCGTTATCCTCGTGAAGAATCCCACGGGCTTGTCGATTCACGTTGAACGATCCACGGGTCGACGATGCGACGATATACCACCACTATCGACAGGTTCACATTTACCCAAAACCCGAGCACGAGAAACGATCTTTCAACGATCCTCTCCTCTTCCTTCGTTGCCACAATTACATGTATAAATATCGACAAGCAAAAAGCAGCGACGCGTACAGACACACTTGTTGGAGGACACGAAAGCTTTCCACCATCGAAACACACGCTTTTTCTAAAAGTCCCTCCGCTTGTTGCCTCTTAAACTTTGCTCCTGGCCAAACAACTTTGCTTACTCCGTCGCTCGAAAGTTTCTCAGGCAACAAGGCACTCTTGATTTCTCTTTGTTGTAAGAACTACGCGAGTCCTTAAACATCATCCTAATCGATTAACGAAAAAAAAGAATCCAAAAAAAAAGAAAAAAGAAAAGAAAAAAAGAACAGTGGGGTTTAACGATATCACGAAAATGGGAACATTACGGCGCATCGAACGATAAAGGTGTGCGCACGCACCTTATACTTTCAAGCTGTTGACTCAACTTTGCGGCTTTATTTTACCTCTTGGCTTATCGCTCGGTAGCCGCGAACTCGCGTTCAAACAGTAGATACGTTCTAAACGATTCCGACCATACGCGGCTGACACGTTTCGCTTGAGAACCCGCTTCTCTCTTCGAGCAGAACCAGGTGCTCGATGGAAAATTTGGTGTAGAAACGTAGCGCGAACTACTCGTTTCCGTCGACTACGATAAACGCGAAAAGAAAACGGGAAACTCTGTTCGCTTACCCGATCGATTCGACTCGCGAGCACCGTGCAAGAAAATTTCGAGATTAAGAACGTCGCGATTCGACGACGCTCGATCGAGAACGACCTTTCCGTTCGCTTGATCGATCGTTATCGTCGGGCGGAGCGATAACGCGCGGAACCGATCCCGCGATAATGCGACACATTGGATGCACCTAATGAAACGCACTTGATTTTTCCTCCGAAACGCACCATGGAAAGCGAGACTTTACGCAGAATTAACGAATCGCTGGAAGGAACGATGAAAGGTTGAACACGGACGGCCGGTTACGAAGAACTGGGTCCATTTCCCCCGAACGATAAGCGCTCGACCGGCCAACTTGACTTCGTCAGACCGTTATCAGCGGTAGATGGTGATAAGCGATACCGTCTACCTAACTCAGACCGGATACCCGCTGCGAGAATCTTTCGAACACGCTCGTTTCAAGGAAAATATGTACACTGCGTGTGTAATGCAAATTCTTGCCATTTTTCGCTGGAATTTAAAGATTCAAATAGGAAAAAGAGATGTCTAACGAATAGAAATACCGCGTCATTAAACAAGAGAAATTTGTACCTGTTGGATGTGTTTGTTCAACCCGCGCACTCTACTATCTCGAGTGCCTTACATCGTTCGTAATTACCTTGAACGTTTTTCCCTCGACAGAGAGTCTACCTTCCTCGAAGGACGCCGACTGCTGATCGACTTTCGATCGAATCGAGATTTCTGGTAATTGGAGGGAAAAAAACCGCGTCGAACACGTTGGACTGGTGTCAGGAAACGGGAACGATTCGCGGGATCGAGTCAACCTGGTGATTCAGATAAGAGATTCCGATTCTATAGCGAACGCGTTTCGTCACCGCGATATTCCGACGTGTGCGCGTGTCAAGCAAAATTAGAAACGCGTCGCTTTGAAACAGCATCGCGAAGTACGTTTCGAGGGTTGCTGGAGCGTGGCCAACATTTCGGAGCGCGCGTTCGGTATCGAAGAGCGACGGGAATCGAGGGTTCTTTTTCATTCGCCAACATCTATATCGTTGTTTGGAAAAAAAAATTCACTCGGCTGCCGATTGCGAGCCATTCTTTACGACCGCACCGTGATCGGCGATAAGATATTTTCGCTATCGATGTGTACGCGTGCGCGTTTTCTTCTTACGGTCGCGTCGTTCAGCAGAAGAATTGGAAAAAGCGGTCAAATCTGGCTAGGAGTGGGGCGATAAAGTTTTATCGTTCTTCTGCCATTACGTACGAGTTTGTTTCGTGAACAAAAGCGGTAAAACGTAGAAAAAGGGGCGACTTTTAGAATAGATTCGTTATCGGCTCGATAAATATACCGTCTGAAAGTGAAAAGCTTTTTCGCTTGGAAAATACTGAATAATGGATTCCCTAGAAAACACGCCAGTTTACGTGGCAACGTAAGTGCTGTGCCGTGCGATTCGTACACGTGGGTCCTTAGTCCGCGACAAGAGTACTAGTGATTCAATTTGAACCCATATACGGATTGGTGGTCGTGAAAGGGTTGAAATGGTAGTTACGCTTTGCCTTTTGTTGAAACGCAGCGGTAAGCCGTCCGTAGCGGTTAAGAATCGAACAGGTGTCCGGCAAGGCCGAGGCGCGAGAAAAATGGTACATGTACTCGCTTCTAATCGGACACGCGTTTCACCCACGTGAACCTAACGCGTTACCTGTCGCTCGCGGCCGAATAAAATAGGTATTATGGTTCGAACGCTTGGTAATTGTTAGCACCGATTCGTGCCGATCGCTTACTACGCGGACGAAGGATTTTCAAGGCAGCCCAGCCGCGTTATAGCCTCTAATTAATACGGCGACAGTAATTTATCGAGCGCGACCTTAACGCATTTGTTCGGATACCAATTTACGATAGCCATCTCCTCCCCTTTTACTTTTCCACCCTTGAACGATCACGAAGGAAAGGATCGAAGTTAGTTGCGATTATTCGAAATCAACGTTGCCAAGATAAAAAGAAACAAAACTAAGGTGGTTAGCGTACTAATTACCAGCATACACCGTTCTCCGTAACTGTGCAGTTACACGCAAGTTACATAAACCGTTAATGCCTATCTTCCTTTCCGTCCATTTTATTTTTCTCTCGTTTCACTCACTGTTGTTTGATTTTCGCATCGCATATGCGTTTTTCCGAATGAGAACAAGCGTTTACGATGGATTATAGAACTGCGTTCACTCGCGTTCGTTACCCGATCCGAGGCAAACACGCGCTCTTCCGGTCGCGTTCACCGGCTTTCCGCGTCCGAGCACTCGCACTCGTGCACTCTCTTTTTCACTCTTCTTGCCCCGTCGACAACGAACAAAGTCTCCGGAGCGCGGCGAGATCGCCGCGATACTCGTCGCGTTTCGAAACTAGGAAACTATCGAAGGACGCGATCGAGCGAACCGCGTCAGCCTGCACCGAAACGCGCTTCGCTCTCCTCCATGTCCATCCGGTCGAATGGGACGAGTGCCGTCGTGCACGCCGACTGCATCGTACGTATTAACCAGACGAAATGCACCGGCGAGAGAGCTAGTGTACAAGCTGCGATCAACTGCGCGCAACGAGCAACCGGCGAAAGCCACGTTCGTGACTCATGCGGACCGCCGGAGCGTCCCGCGTCGAGGATCGAGAACCGATCTAGCCAAGTCGACTCGATTCCACTCGACTCGACTCGGTTCGTTCCGTTTCCCTTCGTCTTGTCTCCGTGTCAGCTAACCTAACCTAACCGCACCTCGCCCGTTCTCATGACGAACGCCTATCGTGGCCGTGGCGCGAGCTCAAAGTGCAAGTGCCGATAGCAGGTCTGTGCACTGTCGCTTTGGTGCCACCGATATTTCTATTTCATTTCGCACCAGTCGTTTTCATTTGCTATTTCCTCGATCGATCGGTAGCTCAGCTGACTTTTCAACTTTGCTCGAATTTCATGGTCCTCGACCTTCTACGAAACCTAGCGCGATCATCGATCGCTCCGACCTGCAGGATGATTACGACTCCTGGTTCAAGGTGTACCTCGAAATACCGCGGATTGACATTTTCCAGGAGTAAAAAATCGACGAAACGATGGCCAGGCGCGTCGGAAGTATACTAGATGCCACGCGTTCAGAAACACTCCAACCTTCCATGCGTGGCGTATCTCGGAGCCATTACGATTCGACGCCTACGACTAGCGTCGCTGTATAAATAAAAGTCGATAATGAACGCGGAGAAGGCTGTTACAGCGTTCGCGTTGCGCCATTAATCGAGCTCGGAGGATCGTTCTACACCTTCCAAGGGATTTCTCGATTTCGAGCGCGTTCCAGAGGGAACGATGATGGAAACGAAAAAGAAACGCGTGCCTTCTTCTTGAGATCGACCGCGACTCTCAAGGTCCGCGTCTCGGAGAATACTGACCAGAGAGATTGCCGTGATCGCGACCTTCGTTCCTTCTGTTCGAATGCCGTTTCGTGGTAAGTTAGGGTCTTGATCGGCAGATCGAATCCTTGCTTGAAATTCATCAAAGTATAGTAGAGAAAGAAAGTGTAACAAAGTTCTCGCTCTGATTGCAAGCAGCCAGAAAAGAAAGAACATAATTTGTATGTTGGAAGATTTTCAGAACGACCAAGTTCGGGAATGCTGTTTCAAAAGTAGAAGAGAAAAACTAGCGGCGCGAAGCCGTTTGTAGACGTCTGTTAACCAGCCTCTATCTTGAATCGAGAACATCGTTTCGTACTCTAGTTACTCTCTTTTCCCGGTCAACGAGAGGAGGGACGATTGATTCTCGAGCTTGGATGCTCGAACGAGCGCCGATCGGTTGAAGAGGAGGACGAGGCAGATAGGTCGCGACTAGGCGCGGAAAACGTTGGCGTAAACGTTTTCTAAAGTAGGCTGCGACAACGGGGAGAACCGCGGGATCGTTCAACCGTAAACGAGAAGCACCGGCTGCCAATCGATGCGGAACGGAAGCGAATGGGTCGAGAGAGCGTTGCTGGAATCGAGTTGGCAACGATCGAAAAAGCAAAAGGAAAATAATAAATTTGTCGTTGAAAAATCAAGTTTCGCAAACTTGCCAGCATCCTTTCGATCGAACAATTAATTAAGGACAATTAGTTAGGGCGTGTAAATTAGGATAGAATCGCGTGTGCATGTTTACCATGGCAATTTCGCAATGTACCAACCACTAATTACTCTCTGAACATGCACGAGAACATGTTCGTTTCACTTTTTTCCCATTTCATCGTTGCTGTTACCAGTCACGAAACATCGCGACGACCTTCACGCTCTGAAACGTTTCTCACGAGTATTTATCAGGTGGTAAATGACGGTTGTCGGAGAAAGAAGAAATGGCGAAAATTACAAGAGCGAGGTCGCGAGCTTATTTGCATCCCCTTCGCTCGAACGTCGCTGCAACGTCTCTCCTTCTCTGTTATCCCGGTGTCGATGCACTCGAGGCGACCGACAATGAGATTACACCGAGCTGGACGATCCCATCGACCATGCATTGGCACGATGCATCGACCACTCGCTAACGCGACCTCCGATTCATTCCTCAAACGATCTACACGCTTCGAGAATACGATCGTTTTCTTATTTATTCATTCTATCCTTCGAATAACATTTGTCGAACATTCATCGAACACTGATTACGCAGTTTGCTACGAGATTACATTTTCCTTGTTTCGCTAGTAATTACCAGTTACAACGAGGCCTAACCATGGACCGATCGTTGGACAGTGATTACGAGATTGCTTGTGCAACCAGCGAGCTGCAAAACTCCAATCTATCCGGAACGAACTAGAGATTGAGCAACGATTATCGAAACGGTAGGATGGAATGTTTAACCTTAAACGAGGGTCCAACATTTTTAGACGGTTGCAGGTCGTCTGAAAGATTGTTGAAAATAATTTTTCAATACGATCGCTGTGCACGCTAGGGGAACTCGGCTGGTTAAATAGAAACGGCCTTGATAAAACTCCCAACCAATGTTCGTACGAACGTTGACTATGCACATACGGACGGACCCCTGATGGCTATCACGGAAGTGAATCGTTTAAAGTACATTTGAGCCGTTGTTAACCGGTGTCGACAAAGAATATTTACCGTCACCGTGCAACCAACTTTTCATCCGCGCGGTCTATCGCCTTTGGATATCGGTCGTTGCTTCCTGTTAATTA